ACAGCATAATTAAATAAACTGGCCACAACCTATCTGGTCCTGGCAAAATCGAGAAATAATTAGAAACTAATTAATGAGATGTTTGACAGGTATTATGTAAAGAAAAATTTTTAAGGAGTGTTCAATGGGAAAAATCTTGGAAAAAAACAAAAATGAGAAGTTGAAAAGAATAACAAATATGGTGTTCTATACTGAAACATTGAGGCTAATCAAGTTTTACCTGCACAGCTTTTCTTTTGATACATCGGCTAAATCTCTTCAACACTTTGCGGATTTGCAAAGTAAAAAAGGAGATCAGAAAGATCATGGCGGTTTAGCTGGGGAAACATCAGTATTCAATGCCGGATGTACAGAAAACCGCAGTAGAGGCAGGTCTTCTGGTGACAGCAGCTCTGTGGAGTACAATGACATTAGAACGAGCGGCATTCATGTACGTTGTGATGATCAAAAATGTTTATTTCTTGAGGAAATGCGAATATTAATACTGTCGCTCATACCAACCGTTGAAAAGAGATCTAGAGAATCTCTGCAAAGGTACCACCTGTTTGTACACTTAATCGAATTGTCGCTGGACTGTCAAAAGTCAAAATATCAAAAGGTTAGCGAGTTTTTAAATGCCAATTTTGCCTTAGATGCAGACGACATTATTGGGCATGCGTGCAGAGGAAACTACGGCACACTCATAAACATAAATCCAGAGCTGGGGCCTGCAGTGGAGGAGTTGAGTATGCATAGAGAAAGGGCTCTGAGCAATAAAGAGATTCAGGAACTGCAGAGCAAGTATAAAATTCCAAAATTTTTAATGAAGATATTAACCGGAAAATTTAGAGATTTTAAAAACAGTTTAGAAGAAGATTGTTATTTTCTGTTGCATGGCCTACGAACGTGTTCTTCCAACGTGTTTTTGAAAATATTTGATGGTGATATGCAGGCTCTATCTTCCCAGGAACATAGTTTTACAAAACTAATGTTTCTGCTGATCTATCCTAATTCTGACTTAAGAACCTTTGAGAGGTGTTTTGAAGATCTGTTTTTCGAAACATTTGATGACGACTATCTTATTGGATTGGACTTTCTCGCCTTCTCTCGAAAGTGCCAATTTTATTTCGATTATTTGATTCAAAATATTCCCTTGAACTGTGTCACTGTCGAGAGTCTAGTCAGGTTTGCCACCAAGAATGGCTTAAGGAAGGAGCCAATAATTGAGAAGTTTGGATGCTTGCTGCAGGACCAAAAGGAGTATGATCAGCTGTGTAGATTTATTTTAAATAACAAAATGAAGGGCTTTAAGTATAAAAAGGACTTTTTGGAGTACTTTATTGATAATTTTGATCGATTCAGATTTTTCATATCAGATGAAATGGCGGAAGACAGGTCCATACAGTTTATATCAAGTATGAGCAATATTGACTTCGTTGACGAAACGTCTCTACGAGACATGTTTATTTCTGAACACTTCTTTTGGTTTATTGATAAAATTATGAGCTCCCTGTCAGTGCGAACTGATTTGAGCGAGAAGGTGATATTAGACCTGATAAATACACTTTTTGAGCATGAGAATCGATTTAGAATGCCCTTGAAAGAGTATAAATCCATTTTAGCCAAGAAGCTCATCAGGTGAATGCAAGTTTTAAATATTCTCGAATATGTCGCATTTATTGATACTGCTTACAGTTAATAAATTATCTACAACTGAGAACGTGTTGATTTATTTGTAGTGGTGTGTTTTAGACATAGAAACTTCTTATCTCTCCGCCTTTAAGTGCTAGCTATACATATACATTTTATATCTAGTGCAGTCTATTTTGATTGCTTATTCTATTGTTTCTCAACAAAGATTTCTACCCCAATGATTGACGATCCCGTTTCAACAGGAACAACAATCATGGCTCTGAGGTACAGAGATGGGGTGCTGGTGGCTGCCGACAGTAGAACATCAAGTGGAGCATATGTAGTGTCCAGAATAACAAACAAGCTTCACCAGGTTTCCGAAAATATCATCTTTTGCGTCAGTGGGTCAGCTGCAGACACACAAAGAATCAAGAGAATAGTGCAAAGCGAAGTTAACAAGCTTAGTCTGATTGAGAATAAACCGCCCTCGGTAGACAAAGCGGCAAACATGGTCAGCAAGATTATCTATGAGAACAAGGACAACATGACCGCAGCCATAATCATTGCTGGATTTGATACAACATCAAAGATAAACAAGGTAGAACATCTGCGGAACCATTGAAACGGATTTAGACATTGTGATTGGAGGTAGTGGATCGGCGTTTATTACAGGATATTGTGAGGCGCATTTCAAACCAAACATGGAGCTGAATGAGGCTATTGACTTTGCCAAAACGGCAATTGGGCTGGCTATTAGAGCCGATAGTGCATCAGGTGGTGTTATAAGACTTGCAACCATTACGAAAGACAAAATAGCAAAGTATTTTGTTCCGGGGGACAGCATTTTAGCCAAATAAACAAGTGTTATTACTTGTAATTTCGAAATATGAATACGCATTATTCTTGTAATCTAAACCAACGGTATACTATTTTTGATAATTTAATGTGGATGGCTAAGAAATTGTGCAGATAACGCAAATGCTTAGTTAATAAGGATCACATCTAATCTACTTTAATTTTCACTGTGGTGAATTATGCCCGTCTGGGATTTTGCTATCCCTAAAGCACCTCTTCGTTTTTATTATTTTCATCAGCCAATTCATCCTCTTCGTAGTAATTGTGCTCATAATCATTTCCTGTCTCTAAACTACCGTGCTCAGAGCTATCATTGCAAACGCCATCATTGTTGTTGTCCTCATCACCCATATCATTAAAAATTACATTTGTATCTATTCCTGGGCATGTTTCGCGACTCCTCTGAAGTTCTGGACTCATGATTTCGATATTTATGGTTTTTTGAATATCCTGTCTAGAAATAGCCGAAAGATACTTGTCTGTGTATCTTTCAATCTCTCTCGGTACGAAAGTGTTCAGAGAAAGAGACCTTAGTTCTTGTTTGATTTTGTTTTCCATTTGTATTTGTGCCTGCGGCTGTATTGGATAGTTGAAGTTTAGAAGATCGTCTTCGGTCATGTCTGTAAAAATTTTCAGGATTTGAGGAAATGCAAATCTTTTAAGAAGCAATGGGCCCGCAATTTTAAACGGCTTACGCCTGTGAAGCCCTTCAACAAGCACTAGAGATCTGTTAATTGAAGTCAGCATTAAAGCAATCGGTGAAAATTAGATGGACTTGGTGCATTTTTACCGAAATGTCTATGTGCTAAATGTACTGTGAGAACACCGAGAAAGTAGCGCAAATGGGCTTTTGCACTTTGAAAACATTGGAGTGATATATTCATGCTTCTTCAATGTTTTTATCTTTCACAAAATTTTTGGCCGAATGGATTTGTTCGATGAAAAAAATTTAGAAAAGCTCAACAAAGACAATGCAAAGTTCAAGGACTTCTCGAGTGGCAAGCTCAACATCCAAGTATTCAGCTCTGCAGACCCCGCAACATCCTACGACTCTCTCTTGCATGTTAAGTATCTCTTTCAGAGAATGCTTCCAAAAATGCCAAGAGATTACATTCTACGACAAGTGTTTGATGAAAACCAGCGCTGCATGACCTTAAACGAGAGAATAGAGGGCAAGGTTAATGTATTCAGAATTATCGGAGCCATTCTATTCAGACCATGCTTTGAGAGATGTCTAGTGGAAATTGTATTTCTAGCTGTTGATTCAGAATATCACGTAAGTGGATATGGCACATTTCTGTTCAACTGTTTTAAAGAAATTTGCAAGCTACAATATTCAGCATTTTTCAAGCTTGGAAGCCTGTTCCAAAGTAAGAACATAATTGTCACCGATCTGTCAATATTTGATCACTTAGATTCCATCGATATTTCTCAACTAGAATTTCAAAATTCAGTTTCTGTTGAAAATAAATATGAAACGCACGAAGAAGTTAAAAGATTGAAGGTTTCCGACGATGCAACTCACCATCAACATGATAATACCGACATATTGGCCAATATACAGGCCAATGATAGATACACAAACGATAAAAATCTTTATTTACTAACATATGCTGACAATTCAGCAATTGGGTTTTTCAAAAAACAGGGCTTCACGCTTCACCCAAGATCCACCCAGTGGGCTGGCTATGTCAAAGATTACGAGGGTGGAACATTAATGGAGTGCAAGGTTCACAAAATGGTTAACTATTTGAGAAAAAGAGAGCTAGTAAAGCAAGCAAGAGACATAGTATTTGATAAGATGAGAAAAGTCAATGACTTTCATATTTTAAGAAAGAGCTCTGAAAGAGAAGAGATTAAAAAGCAAAGAGAAGCACATGCTCCAGATAGAACATGGGCAATGAGAACTAAAGAGGAGTTTCTATCCGACTTTTTGTATTTCATTGTTTGCTCGTTGCAAAGTCACCCGTCTTCCTGGCCTTTTCTTGAGCCAGTTTCTGAGAAAGATGTGCCCGATTATTTTGAGGTTATCAAGCATCCCATGGACTTGAGTCTGATTATGAGAAAACTAAAGGGCGGCATGTATTTTACGCTTAAGGATTTCGCACTAGATGTTTGTCTTATGTGCAATAACTGCTTTTCATATAACGGGCCTGATACGCAGTATTACAAATGCGCTGAAAATATCAAGAAATACTTTGAAAGTCTAATTAAAAGCTATGCATCAGCCATTTTACACTGGGGATTTGATGTGGTGTTTGGTGATTTTAAATAAATATTGTATTCTTTGTTTCTTCTGCCATCAGCTCATTAATATTTTGACTTTCTATGTGTTTGGACCCATCAGCAGACAAGCTTACTTCAGCATTGCTATGCTACCTAGCTAATCTCTTTTGTTGAGCTTCAATTCTACCCTTGCAATGAGTCTGGAGAAACTAAGAGAATTAGATCCAAACGTGGACAAAATGAGTTTGGAGGAAATATCAGAGCGAACCAAGATGATCAACAGTGAAATACGATTACTACAGAATGAAATTAATAGTATCAAAAATGAGATTCACAACAAGTCTACAATGGTTGCAGAGAATATGTCTAAGATCAAGCTTAACAAAATTTTACCATTTTTGGTTGGGAATGTTGTTGAGATTTTCGATAACCACAGTGGTGTTATTTTAACTTCAACCAGGCAGTATTCATATCTGTCAAACCTGGGGTTGGTTCCGACCGAAGATCTTTCAGCTGGAGACTCTGTTGCGCTTCACAAGGAGACTAACATTGTTTTTGAAAAGCTGCCACCCACATACGATAACAAGGTCTTAGCAATGGAATTGGATGTAAAGCCAGATGAAACATATGAGGACATTGGTGGCTTGGACAGGCAAATTGAGGAGTTGAATGAGGCGATTGTGCTTCCGCTTATGTATCCGGAAAGATTCAAAAGGCTGAATATTACACCGCCCAAAGGCGTGCTGATGTACGGGCCACCAGGCACAGGAAAGACTTTGATGGCTAGAGCATGTGCTGCGAAGACCAGTGCTTCTTTCCTCAAGCTGGCCGGGCCACAGCTTGTTCAAATGTACATTGGCGATGGTGCTAGACTTGTGAGGGATGCCTTTGCTCTTGCCAGATCTAAAAAGCCATGCATAATTTTTATTGACGAAATCGATGCTATCGGTATTAAGAGATCAGCATCAGATAAAACCGGTGACAGAGAAGTTCAGAGGACTATGCTTGAGTTACTGAATGAACTCGATGGATTCACTGTGCACGATGATATTAAAATTATTGCAGCAACCAATCGAGTAGATATTCTTGATCCAGCATTGCTTAGATCTGGGCGCTTGGATAGAAAAATAGAGTTTCCACTTCCAAATGTTGAAGGCAGAAAGCGGATTTTACAGATACATGCAAGAAAAATGACGGTGGGTCCCAATGTTAATTTTGATGAGCTTGCAAGATCAACCGAGGGATTTAATGGTGCGCAGTGCAAGGCTGTATGCGTTGAGGCAGGTATGGCAGCTATCCGAAAGAGCAAGAATGAAATTGGGCACAATGAGTTTATCCAGGGAATATCTGAGGTCATGTCTAAGAAGAAGTCTAGTGTTGTATATTTCACTTAATAAATCCATTTTAGAGACTGGTATTGTGTTTGTGACTTGTGGCTGCTTTGCATTTTGCAAAATCAGTTCTATACTAATGTTCTGATTCACTTTACTATAAATTCTTTTATGGCTGGCAAGCATATTGAAGCTGTTTTAGATATTTCAGCATGGTAATATTTGAATCTTTTTTACTGTTTTGAAAAATTGCATTGATCTGTTTCAGTTTTGATAAAAACAATCTCGACAACAAACAACATTATGGGCAGTAAGACTAGGATACTGGTCTATGCTGGATTGGCACTACTCTCAATATACTTTACCTATGATCTCCCAGGTTCTTTAAATTTTGCACTCAACTTTGGGGCAGGAACTGATGAAACAAAAATCAGTCTTTTATACTCCTTCTACGCAATCCCAAACATCGTTTTGCCCTACTTCTTCAGCTATCTTGCGAGCTGCTCAAAACACGGACTACTGTGTTTGCTTTCAGTCTTTGTCCTATTGGGTCAGTTAACCTTCACCCTGGGAATATACCTAAATCAATTTTCAATAATGCTTATCGGACGCATGTTGCTAGGAATCGGAGGCGAGTCGTATTCTGTTGCACAAAATAAGATAATTATGGAGGAGTTTAAAATCAATGAATTGACAGGCATAATGGCGTTCTATAATTCATGTGGTAAAATTGGAACAATATTGACATTTCTGCTAACTCCTGTTATTGCTAGCTATTTTGGTGCCTTGGCGGCTAGTGGGTTTGCATTGGTTTTGGTGTTTTTTGGTTGCTTTTCATCATACAACAGTTATGCCAGTTATAAGAAGATTGGACTGGTGCCAAGCCCTACTGAGTGTCCATCAATCGACGCAGAAGATGTTGTTGATGAAAATGTTGCTATGGTTCAATGGAGAAGTCCAGGAAGAGGAGCAAGTGGCTGGGTTTGCTGGCCGTTCAAGCTGTTAGTGTTCATTTGCTTTATTTTTGGATGTGTTTGGTCACCATTCTACAATATTGCACCGATGATGTTCCACAAAAGATATAAAATGGGTATAAACACTTCAAGCTATACTGTTGGCATTATTGAGGGCATTTCACTTGGGATTCTCTTCGCGGTTAGTCCAGTTGTAGGAAAAATAGGAAACAAACTTAACCTTGTAGTCCTAGGCTGCTTAATATTGATTATCGCGCATTTAGACATCGTTCTTTGCAGTGTAAATCCGCTTCGAGCTATTTTATTGCTAGGGATTGCCTCACCTCTTATATCATTTTATTGGTCATGTCTGCCCAGGCTCGTTCCTGAGAACAAGCTATCTTCTGCATTTGCCATACTTTTCTGTGCAACTAACCTTGCCTTTGTTATTTCACCATTGTGCGTGGCATTTCTTTCAATTAAAAACACAACGTACTTGTTGGTTGAAATTTATTTAATTATACTTTCGTGCATGTCTTTGATCGCCCTGCTGATATTACTTTTCTTCAACGGTAAATACGATCTGAAATTGAATGATGTAATAGGTTGATGTGGGAGCAAAAAATTGAAGTTGTTCAATGAAAATGCCAAACATAGTTAAGTTTTAGATACTGGTGCAATCTTACAGTCAACACAGACTTTAAAACTAGGCTCGAAATATCATCAGCCAGCTGCATCCAAGGTATAAAATTTTTATTGAAAATTAAAGAGCATTGAATACCCTCCTCATAGAGTCTCTATTCATCACCGTTTTGTACTTCTTCTTATCTTGGATAGAAAGAACAACATAGATAATTATAAACGCAAACAGAACAACAAATAATGAGACAACGGTCTGATTATAGTATCTATTTGTAAAGAAGCTTTGAATATTCCAGTCTCTTTGATCAAATGTGAAAACAGCAAATGTATTAGGCACCAGGAATGTTGGAGCATCATATTGGTTTTTGTTTTCATCACTGCCTGGCACTTTCAGCGTAAAGTGGTTGATAAACAGATTTGTCTGCTCAAGACCAACGAATACCTTGTGTCTTTGTAGAGATGGATATGAAGATTGGAACGATAGACTAGTTTTAATGATCTTCTCTTCATTTTCATAAACCAAAACAAAGCAGGCGCCTGGAATGAAGTTGGTCTGGCTGTCTGCAATGCTCAGTGGAAGAAGATAGATCCCAGTCATTTCTAAATTGTGATCGGAATTAATAAGCTTAAAGGAATATGATCCATCGCCATCAACAGAAATAGTGTTTACCATTAATTGCTCAATACCCTTGTCTTCACAATCAAAAACTGTTAGTCCAACAACAAATCCAAGCTTTTGATCATTTTCCCACTCCGGATTGTCTATTTTAAAGTTAAACCTCCCTTCGGCTCTATCAAACTCGATCACTTGAATGATTGAGTTGGCAGGTTTATTTTTCTGTGCATCAATCTCATCTGTGACAATATAGACACTTTTAATGCCCTTTCCAAATGGATCGTACAGGAACATTCCACGTGGTATTCCATCTTCAGAGAGTATTATCTTGCGAGACTGTACATTGCTCTTTGTATCTGCTAGAATCTCTTTGAGGGGATACACAATCTTTGAAGCATTGTGATATACTTCAAGATTCTCTGCTTCCCTATAGAACTCCTTAAGCCGCTGCAGGTCTTTCAGGGCATTATCAGGCTCATCTTTGTAACTAATATTCTTGTAAAGATTCAGAGTGTACTCATTGCCTTTCCTAGAAATGAAAAGCATATCAGGCCTCGTTTTGCTAGCCATTTCTGTGAACATAATTGGACCAATCTCATCTTCGTCTATTTCCATGGTTTGAATTTCTTCGAATTCAAATTTAAAAGACTTTTTGTCGTCAAGACTTGTTGTGAACTTAAGTTGCAATATCAAAATGGCATTCTTGCCGTCTTTTTTAGTGTGTAGTACCAAGTCTGCATTCATATCACTTGTAACATCTAAATAGCTGCTTGTATGGACACCAATAGGAACACTGGACGGCTTTAATGAGCCCAGTTCTACAAACTCCGATTCATTCTGGATTTCTCCGTAGACAAGCTTACTACCATTAGTGAACAAAATAACTGGTTTGAGATTCTTTGGATTTGTGATTATCATTGGAGTGGAATTTGAGGTAAATACAGGGGTGCTTGGAATATCTTCGCTTTCAAAATCACACAGATAATTGTCAAAAACTGTGGGCATGTCGTCCCTTTTTACTGTGACGAGTATTGGAAATGGCTTGCTGTTAAATCCCTGAGAAATGATGTTCACTATCCGTTCTCCTAATTCTTTTGTGTTGATTTTCTTAACTTCTGCAGCCTTTTGAGACTCTGATGTCTCTATCAGAGCGATATTATTATTTCTATCCAGTGCAATCAGCTTCTGGTGCTCGTCGTCTGTAGTAAACGCATGTGAAAATAGCCGATATCCCTCAAGTAGTACTTTAACTCCAACATTCTCAAGTCTCATTTAGGGGCTTGAAACAAGGAGTTAGAAAATGAGATGATTGGAGTAATGCGGAATTCCATTGGCTAATAATGACAATATAAGACAAATAGGAGTAAACTTGCTGTACTCTGTGGGTACTGCACAGGTAGATGCAGGAGACTATAAGAATTAGTAATAAACAATGCTATTCTAGTAGACTTTCGTTGCTAATTCACATTTGTTTGTATTTTAGAGATACCCATGCTTATATAACAAATAAATAACGTTATAAGTACAATCAAGCATTTAAACAGATTTTGGAAGTGTACATGCTCCAAACAAACGTGTCGAGTATATTATGTCTTGCGATTTATTTAATGAACCATCCAATAACTAAGCCAATCAAGTATGAAATGCCTGCAATTAGAAGCAGAAATCCCTGTACTATAAAACCGTCCTTAATATTTTCAGATTTGAAATCTCCAAATATTGAAGATTCATCACGCCATTTTACTTGAAAGAGCTCTACAAGAAGTTCATTGGCTTCTGTAGGTAAACCTTCAAAAGCATTGAATGATAATAAGTCATAGGTTAGATTTTGTAAAGCACACAAAAATGTGAAGAAAAACAAAATGGTAGCTAAACATGCGCAGATCACAGTAATTGCTGCAAAAATACTGCAAAAAGCAAAATGCTTTTGTGCCAAATATGGATTTACCACAGATTCTTTTGCTAGTGTTGGATCAAGGCCCTGGAATAAAGGCGCCTGCACTTGTAAAGGTTGCTGATATTGTGGCGCTGGGGATGCTGCAGGGGGTGGCGGATAGCTCGGAGGTTGCATCTGCTGTGGTGGCATTGATGTATCCTGTGCACTTTGGACTGGAGGAGGTGGATAGCTCGGAGGTTGCATCTGTGGTGCAGGTGACACTGCCTGTTGATAGCTTGGAGGTTGCATCTGTGGTGCTTGTGACACTGCCTGTTGATAGTTCGGAGGTGGATAACTTGGGGGCTGCATCTGTGGTGCAGGTGATACTGCCTGTTGATATCCAGCAGTGCCCTGGTATCCGGGATTATTTGGTTGCTGGTATGGCTGGTAGTTTGGGTAATTCATAAGGGGCTAACACTGCAACTGTTTGACAATTATAAATAAAAAAGGAGAGTATCAAAACAAAATTATGATTGGGTCTAACGTCTTGTGTATTGCATGCCCATTTAACTTTAAAGTTGAATGGTAAGTGTAGCAGACCATACTTTAATAAATATTAACACACAACAGCTCCAGTTATGAAACTTTTATAAATCCTAATTTATTGCTTTATAGCACCCATATACCTACCGTTAGCATCCAGCACCCATATTACTATAAAAAATACCAACTGTGTGATAGCTCTTGAAATCAAGGCTTTTTTATCATTGTCGTCGTCCGTAACTACATCAATTACCATGAGTATGCTTCCTATTGTTCTAATTAAAAAGAAAATCCATAGTCCAAATACAAGATATGCAACTATAAAGCAATATACACCCTTGTAAACGCCATAAAAGGGATTTGGTCTTGGCTCATTTGGCTGCGCTGTGGGGTTTTCACCCTGCGGTTGATATGGAGCGTTACCATAGTTCATATAAAGGGACAAGATATTCGTATTTAAATAGCCAAAGGAGTAACTAATTTATTGACCAACTTTACTCCTTATAAATGACACATCTTTCAAAAACATACCAGTTATTTAGTGGAGTTAATATAGTCTTTGAGACAGGGCATTGTGCTCCAAGATCGCTGGCGCATGCTTGATTCTGTCCTGCTATACTTAATTTCTTTTGTAAGTATTTGTCGTTTTTTGAATGGGATGCTAATTCGCCGCTAGCATGTCTCAAATTCTCCAATTGGTTTGCATTACCCTATGGAAAATGATGAGGAAAATGAAACAAAGTCCAAGTTTCTGGGAAAAGCCCTAGAATTTTCAAGAAATATCGAAAATCTGACAGAAGACCTTCTTCAGCTACTCAAATCAAAGGACAGCTCTGTTTTGGATGCAATAAGACCCATCATAGAGCCAAAAAGAAAGGCATCAGTAGTATTGGAGTTTTACAACTCATACCTCCAATCAGCTCAAGCATTCAAAGATGTTGAGAGCAGAATTAAAGAGGCGGGAATTACAACAAAATCTAAGCTGAAAATAGAAGACTTGGAGTCGAGCTCAACCCTTGATTTACTCGATGTGCTCATAAAGAAGATTGGCGAGCTAGAAGAGCATCCAGAAATTAAAATTGCACATAAACTTGCTGCAGAACAAAGGCAGAGTCTCAACAAATATCTGGAGATTGTTAAAGACACGGTCCTTGACTCGCTTAAAAGACTGCCAAAGGTTGTGGATAAACTTGACTTATACTCAAGGTTTATATTGAAACATCATGATTCTGATCAGTACTTAAAAGAGTACATTGAGGTCTGTCAATCAAGACTCAGCTTTTTTGAAATTGAAAATAAAGAAACAGCTATTCTCCAACAAACAAAAAATCTAACAGAGCATTTCAACATGATCAAAGAACTCAACACCAGAATACTGGGCAGGAAATTTTCAAGAGTAATTAACGATGGAATGATCCAGTTTCTGGTTCTAGATTTGAAAACAATTCTGGGCTCGTATCTATTAAAAATTGAAAAGAGCCAATCTCCTTTTCACATTCCATTTTTAATACAGCTATACGCAAGACTTAGACACAGCGATGGAGACATGGTCAGGGAAATTGAGCAACTATTTGAGCTGAAGCCTGAAATAATGAAGCTGATATTCAATTGCTTTATCCAGTTCTTTGGGCAGTTGGATCTTCTTGAAGCTCCAAACAAGGAGCTGGGATCCGAGAAGATGACTATTCTTCTAGCAAGCATCCTTGAGCAGTTCGCTCTGAATAAAGATGCAAAAAGAGAATGGGTGTCGTCTTTTGGATCTTCCTTTGGAATTTTCAATATTGACGAACTTAACTTTAACCTGTGTGAAAAATGTCTGTTGAAGATCACCGCTCTGTCAGAGCAGCTAAATATCCGAGATCAGTCAATATACACTATAAACAACATACACGCTCTTCGGAACTACTTTTTGAAGTTTTCTGGACTCGACATTAAACAGCTCATTTACAAAAACTGTGAAACAATCATCGGCGTCTTAAAAATTGAGTTAGAGTCGAGATCCCCAACAGAAGCCTACAAGCTCATACTCAATGAACTATCGTTGGCTCGTCAATGCTATTTACCTGAGGAAGAAAGAGACTATATTGCACAGAAGATAAAACAAATGGTTGAAGATGGTATATCCAAGAAGACAATACAGGGAAATCCTCATGCACTACTACAAAGTATTCCTGAAGCATATACAGGCAACAAACCCAAATGACATAATAAAACTGTTTACTTTAAGTTGTTACCCAAACGGTTATGTTATATGTTTTTATTATCGATGATATATTCTGTCAGCTATCACTAAATGCATAAATGCTTATTACTCAATATATAGGCTTGGCAAAAATACAATACCCCGTCGCATGCATGTGCTTGCTTGTGAGAATTTTTCGCTAATTTTGGTGTCACCAATGATATCGCCAACATTAATCATTTCTCTGCAGCACTCATCCAATCGAAGGAGTAGCCTGACAAATGAGCCTTCTTGAATACAATGCTTAGTAACAATGCTCCCAAGACTTAATCCAGAACACCAGTCATAGACAGCCTGTATATAGCTCAAATTGAGTTCTTGGAATTTGGGTATGTTCATTTCAGCCAAGTCTTTACCAAGAATGTCGTGATATTTTTGCAATATATTTGCTTTTGCCTCGAGTTCTGGAGATATTTCATATTCTTCCGGCTGATCTTCGTTTAGCATTGAGCTGAATAGTGCAATAGTCTCGCTCGGCGAAAAAGACTCAAACTCATTGTTGAATATGAGCTCGGTGACAAGAACATCATTTACAGTCCTAATTTCAGCAGCAACTCGGCCTTTGAGTGTTATTGAATCCGACAGGAACGAGTGTTTCTTCAAAAATGATATTCTGGCAGTATATTCATTCATCAAAGCCAAGCTTTCCCTGGAATACCTACTCCTTATAGAATTGATCTCATCCCTGGTCTGCTTTGAGCGTATAGCTTCAAAGTAATGTGTTTCGGAGTTTCTGCACTCAAGGAATTTGCATTTCAGCATGCTTTCAAAGCGGGATCTTAGCTCAGAAATCTTACAAATATACTTTATATCAGTTTCAGTGAAGTCAAAAGAAATAGGCAGTGCCTCTAACATAAAATACAACATCGTCAAATGTCGCCGCACCATTCTTGATGTAGTTTCTGTACCAGATGGGGTATTTCAGGATAAGGTCTGAACCTGCTGCCTCGGACGACTCAATTATTTCCCTAGTTAAGGGTATTGAGAACAGATTTTTACAATCTATATTAATATCTGAATTTGAAAACATAAATTCATGTTTAGACATAGAATTAATGGTCACAACAGCATTGTTTTTAAGAACAACTGTATCTCCGACTTTAATAATGTTTTTGAGAACAGAGGGTAGTTCTCTTGATATGATTTCCAGATTAGAGAAATATTCAAGATAATCTCTGCACTGCTCACAATCAACATCTGGAGTAGATTCAAGAACAGCAAGCCTTGCCATATCGGTTTTTAACGTTCTCTGAGATCCATGCTCTTTGAAACTACTCTTCATCAATTCCTCTACCTCAATGTTTGTCATAATAGCTGTCAATATTAGCGAAAAACTCAATCTAAATTTCGAGTTTAGATCTGCTGGAATGCCATTAATTACTTTTTTGATTGTAGAAATGTCAGACACTCTTTGGTCAGCAATTAAAACAGTCCCAACTTTGTCCATTCCTCTTCTTCCTGCTCGACCACTCATTTGAATGAACTCACCAGCATTTAGATATCTAAAAACGCCGTTGTCAATTTTTGTGAGGCTTAGAAATGCACAGCATTTGGCAGGCATATTAACACCCATGGCAAATGTCTCTGTTGCAACCAGTATTTTAATCAGATTTTCGGAAAACAGTATTTCAACGCATTCTTTAACAAAGGGAAGCAGGGCGCCGTGATGAATTGCAACGCCACGATATACTTGGTCTCTCATGGATCTGATCTGAGGAAGATCTCTATCTTCGTCTCTTAGGCTGCCCATTGCATTTTCCAAAAACTTCAATATGCATTCCTTTTCATCTGGAGTTGTCAGATCTAATAGCTGCAGTGATCTGCCATACCCCACACATGCTTTTTTCGAAAATGTGAAGAAAATGGCAGGGACAAGACCCTTGTTATTTACAAAGTTTCCCAGATCGTTGATTCGGAATCTATTTGCTGCTTTTATATTCTTGTTAAACACCGGCAAAGCTGTTTGGAAATTTGAGAGCTGATTCTCGGCCTTCTTGGATTTTGGGTCATCGATTGAAAAGACACTCGCGTCACAATAGATGGCAAATTCGAGGGGAACGGCTCTCTTGTTAGTTGAAATAACGTAGATACAGCGGTTCTTTGTTCTTCCTACCCACTCTGCAAACTCCAATGAATTTGGAATGGTTGCACTCAGCATTACGAAGGAAATGTGATGCGGAAGCATTATAATACATTCTTCCCAAACAACACCCCTTTCTGCATCATTAATGTAGTGAACCTCGTCAAACACTACATACTCAGTGTTGGCTAGAATCTCGGAGTTTTTGTATACTAGATTTCTGAGAATTTCTGTCGTCATAATCAGGCAGCTGGCACTCGGATTAACTTGCACGTCCCCCGTAATCAACCCCACATCAGGAAACCTTTGTTTAAAATCAAAAAATTTTTGGTTGCTTAAGGCTTTAATAGGCGATGTATATATTACACGATTCGAGCTTTTAAGACTCAGCCCAATAGCATATTCTGCAACTAGCGTTTTTCCAGAGCTAGTGTGTGCTGACACAAATACAGATTCTTTTTTTGAGAGAAAATAGAATGCTTGTTTTTGGAAAATATCTGGTTTGAAGTTTATATTGAGAACGGACTCATCAACAACTGCGTCGTAGTCGCCAGGCTCCCAGTCTTGCCGTGTCCCAAATACATGTCTTTCCAATTTCAAGTTTTTTAGCATTCTGCTTGGTTCCGAAATTGGCGATTCAAATTTTTGGTCCATGGGTACAGAAAGTAAAGTTTATATCTGTAACTGACAGCAATAGAAGTTGCTGGCACAGTCTGGCTCCCACCGCACGATATTTCTGTAGATAACCACAACATTATATGTAACTGGCCATATAGTTTGCAGAGCTGATTTGCCGAGAGATCCTTAATGCAATAAATGGCCTATATAGATAGGCTGCATTAATGTTAAGCTAGCCCAGATATGAAATAATTTATATAATAAAGCTTTTTGTGCGCCATAAGTTTATTCATGTCCAAACAAAAGACTAGACGCAGCAAAATCCTCATATCAGCTTAGCATAATGGTCTGGTGACATACAGCTATACATATATAATGTCTAGCCCAAGTATGTCACGCTTTTATGTCTGCTGCATCTATTTTGAATATTTCGTCAATTTGTGTATTTAAAAACGAAGTAATGTCAGCTCTAAGTACAAATTTTCTTGATCTACTGTGATTAATTCTACATTTCAGTATTAAGGTTGTTTTGAGTGTTTTAATATCGGTATAACTGGAACCTGGGCTGCTCAACACAAAGTTGTCATAAAAATCAATCTGTTGTTGTTTCAGGTATTCCGAGATTTCCTTCTTAAACTTATTTAGTTTTATCTCTGAGATTACCGATGGCAAATCAAACGTAAATATCAGTAAATTCTCTGGCGCATTAGTCACGTTGACGATGGGTTTATTGCACAGTTCGGAGTTGAAAAGTTTAATTATTCCACCGTTTTCAAGAATGAATGAAGACGAGATGATCCCAATATTGTAAACTGTCATCTCTTCTCCGGCTATTACGACATCATCGCCAATATCGAATCGATGACTTAGAACAAGCATTATTCCTCTCAATATATCCTTCATTGCTGCACTGCCGAGAAAATGAAGCGCTATTGCCGACGACACAACAACAGCAAACAATTCCTTAATATCAACACCAAAGATTATAAGATAAATAATAGATAGAAACGCAAAGACTATGGTGTAAAGCAGGCTTCGTATTATATCTACAAATAAAATCTGCGATTTTATAGACTTAGCCAATGACAATCTGTTGTAGTAGAAGCTTACAACAACGTCTCTGAATTTTTTGTTTGAGACACTTTTCTTCCTACTAATATCGATATATGATTTTGCTCTTTCAAAAATGTTTGAATCATCAAAAACACTTCTTAGATTTTCAATACTCATTTCATTTTCCTCGGACGCCGCTTTCAAGAACACGTCCCTGGAAAGCCTGATTGCGTCTTTGACATTCCATATTTCTGGTGGCTTTATCTGTGAATGTTGCATGCTACTGCCTTCATCGTAAACTATGCAGTATGAGACTATGGTATTAAAATCAATAGAGAACACGTCAGAGGCTGCCGATGTATGCCGCTCATGTTCTGGCTGCTGGGATATATCATATGCAAATCTTTTAAATGTCTTCAGTATTTCCTCGGTTTTGTTCGTTCTTTTAATTTTTGATTTCAGGGTTGAGCTAATTAAGTTTTCTTCAAAAAACATCATCATTAACGACAACAAGCCATAGACAATCGAGGTTATTACAAATGACAGGCATATTGCCCTAGAGTACACAAACTCGCTTCCAAGATGGAACCAGTAGAATAGCATCCACACAAAAATTGTCAAATAACGGTAGATTGCTTCAAATGCACCATAAAAGAGTGTAGACTGTAGATACTCAAATGTAAGCAAAATCATGAAGAATACAAAAAGACGCAAATCTAAACGAGCCTGTAAATACCACGACGGAGTAATTAAGTGGTACGAGGTCAATTCCGTAGATACATTTAGGCTTTTGTGAAGAAATTGTGTGAGAACTATATTCAGGCAGAATGAAATACAAAATATAATGAAAAAAACTAGTGAAATGAAGTCGAAGACCTCCTTAAATAGCGATTCTCTTTCGGAATCTTCGTCTATTTTGCCGTCATCCGTGCCGTGATAGTCAAACCAATCAAAATACTCCTCGCTTTTCTCCATATTAGCTTTTAAGGAATTAAATTTAAATTTGTTTCAAACCTGTAACGATTATTCAGCTTGGGCCAAATCAGCGGTTTTACATCAAAGTAAAACACAGCCTGTATTATCTGTAAACATAGTACACTTAAATATAAGATATTATCTACCGAAAACACATTTGCGGCTGGCAATGCTAAAAAAGACAGTATCCACAGCACACACTGCGTTTTTGTTAAATTTGTCAATTCATTGAACTTTGTCTTCAGTCATATTTTTATCTGAGGTATCTACTTGGGCAGTGGAGTAGCTATCTATAATGTACTTATCGACACTGGTTGCCCACAATTGGCCATCTCTCTTCTCAATATCAACAATCAGGTTGATTGGCTGGCTACTTTTGGCTGGATCAATGTATTTTCTAAGTACATGCTTATCAAGATATATCTTGACCGTGTCATTAGTAGAGATGCTCAGCACTACGCCGTTGGGCGGCATATAAACAGGAATGTGAAATTCATTCCTGATGTTTTTCTGTAGTACTTTCATCCTTGCCTTTTCACCATGCACCAGCATTAGGCTTTTAGGCCTACATTGGTCTATGATCTTCATTATCCCGCATGTGTCCGCATGTGCACTGAACGCAATATTCTTCACCTCCAAGTTAATTGCCCTCTCTTCGTTTTCAATCCTCTCTTTCCTCGATCCATTCAAAACTCTGTCTCCAAGCGTGCCTCTGACACAGTATCCAGGCAAAATAACCAAATTGCGAGGATCTGAGCAAATATTTTTGAAAATCCTTAGCGAAGTTCCAGAATGCAACATCCCGGGGGATGAAAATATTACACAAGGGCCTTGTAGCTCACTTCCTTTACGATATGGTTTTATATGGCTAAATTCAAACACATTTTTTTCTAAAATTTTTTCTCTGACACTTTCATTTGTGTAATTAATAAATCTTTTGTATATTTCATTTGCCTTTTCAGTCATCCCGCCCGCAAAATACACGGGTATCTCCAACCCCATCCTTTCCCAATAAGACTCAACAATTAGACAGATCTCCTGTGCTCTCCCAAGAGCGAAAATAGGTATTAATGTCTTGCCTCCTCTTTCAATGCAGTTGTGAATAGATTGTAAAAACTCTCTCTCCTTTGCCTTTCTACAATCTCTTATGACACTTCCATATGTAGATTCGGTAATCATCAGATCGGGTCTAAGTGTGTCAATCCATGCCGTCCCAAGGTGTTGATCTGCTGTGGTGCTGTAATCTCCAGTGTACACAACACTCTGGTCGCCCACTTTTACGTAAAACATGGCTGCACCAATCACATGTCCGGCATAGTATGCTGTAATTGTGAAACCTTTTGAAACCTCAACCGTCTCATTCATATTTATCGGAACAATTTTCTCCATGCACTTTTTGATGTCTTCAAACGAGTAGATGTTGGAGTCGTGGCTCTTCATTGAGAGTATCTTTTGACAATCCTCCAGCAAGATGGGCAGAACAGCCTTTGTAGGATATGTCATGTATATTGGCCCCTTGTAGCCTAGAACTTCAGTAAAATAGGGCAAAGCACCACAGTGGTCCAGATGAAAGTGGGAGATTAGAATGCAATCTACGATTTTGTCAAAATTTCCGGTTTTGCTAAGAGCTTGGAAGTCTGGAAATTTCCTCGAGTCGCTGTAGCCCATGTGCATACCACAGTCAAACATTATTGTTTTATTATTAATGTTGACTACTATGCATGATCTACCTATCTCTTGGCCAGCACCAAGTGCAAGAACATTCATTGGGTGAAAATTTTTCAACCAAAATATTTACTTGAGAAATCTCATTCATATTCCCATGCGAAAGTTCTTTTTGCCAGGAGACTGTGTTTGTGAAAATGAAGGATACATTAAAGGCCATGGCACTGAGCAAATAGGTGACAAAATATATTCCAATTACTTTGGAACAGTTAATCAGATCAACAAACTCATCACAATCGCTCCAGTTTTTTCGGTTAGATACACGCCAGAAGTGGGGGATGTTGTGGTTGGAAGAGTAATACAAATATACAGCAAAAAATGGAAAGTCGACACAAACTGTAGGAGCGATACAACACTGAGTCTGGGCGCAATAAATCTGCCTGGTGTGATGCAGCGTAGAAAATCAGAAGAAGACGAAATCAACATGTCAAAATACTTTGATATTAATGATGTTATCGTCTGTGAGGTCCAAAAAGTAAACAAAAATGGCAGTGCAGCACTACACACGCGAAGTGACAAATACGGTCGATTGTCCAATGGCGTGCTGATAAATGTGTCTCCCGATCTGCTAGTGGCGACTAAGTCTAGGTTTATTGCGAAAGGCGGAGTAGAAATTACTAGTGGATGCAATGGGCATATTTGGATTTCAAGTAAAAATGACTCCTCAGAATCGTTCCAGCAGATTGCACAGATTAGATCGATTATTGAATGCGCATATGACCAAAATGAAGCCGTTGATCTTGAAGCTATCATTAATAAAGTTGTGGAGTAGCACATAAAGGTTTTTATTAGTTGATATTTAGACAAGATATTATACCATAGCAAAACTGGGAATGTATTGCAGAGGCTCTCTGGTTGCAAATTTTCCTTTGAAGCTTTGCCAGCCCTAATGATAAAAATAGCATTATTACAGAGAGGAAACAAGCTGATTGAATATTTAAATGCAGCATCGTGGCATTTTGATGCATCGTGCTCAGCCGACTATGAAATCAACTTCTCTACTCTTATTTTATTTCTCAGCTTGAAGTTCCATTCCGCAAAGCCCGAGTACATCTACAAGCGGATAGCCAAGCTAAAAGAAGCAAAACTGAGAATACTATTGATTTTGATAGATGCACCAAACTTCAATACGTCTCTACAGGAGCTGTTCAGAACAGTGCCGATCATCATTGTTCTTTGCAGAACCTATGAAGAGTGCTCAAAGTACATCAAAGGATTCGATCTTTGCTCAAAAAGAGGAGTAGAGATATTAAGAAACAAAGACTCGACTGTAGATACATTTCTCCAAACGTTTAATAAGGTTAATAAGACAGATGCCGCCACTTTAAAAAGAAAATTCAGCACATTGTTGGAGCTTTTTAATGCAGGTGAAAAAGACTTGGCAAATGCGGTGGGAATAGGAAAGGTCAAGGCACAACAGCTTAAAAAGTATCTGGATAGATCTTTTAAAAGGTAAGCTGTATCACCGGATGCCTCGGGTGAATAGCTGCAGACAGTCGAGTGTTATAGCCGAATTAATCTTTGGAAGTATTAATAAAGCCTTGTTCATACTTTATATGCTTTGAGTGATTAGAGATTTAATGTCTCGCACTGTCCAATTTTAATGTGTCAAACATGTCTTTGTTTGTTCCAATACGGACAATATGGTGTTGAGTTTTGCAAATCTAAGACTTCTAAGCCCGGGAATACCACAATCCCATGATTTTTTAGTAACGTGCTGGAACGGCCGAAATTTGGCATTTGGATCTTGTCGATGCTTGCAACTTTTGAACCCAGGTGTTGCCTTTCAAAAATACTTGTAAAAATTTTTGAATAGTGGTAATTTGTGTCAAAATTTTGTTTGCATAGTGATTTCTTGGGGCACACGGCTCAAAGGTTAAGGTATGCACGAAATATTCTCCACAATATTTGCGCAGCGTCTATCAACCTACTGGTTATTTTCTTTAATTTTCATTAGCCAGCAAAAATTTGTATTCTTAATTTGCAAATCAAAAGTTTCGAGTATCCCTAATGTCAAAGAAAACAATGCGCAAATACGCTAAGTTTATCGCTGACAACGAATTTTTAAAGGAATTCATGCCGGACGTTGATCTCGAAGATGCGGATTCAGAGCCAGTGGAAGCTTATATATTCACTTATTCGCCAAAATACGTCCGAGTGACACTACGAGATTATCAGATAGAGGGATTGAACTGGCTCATTAAAATGCACGAGAATGGTATCAACTGCATTCTTGCAGATGAAATGGGCCTGGGAAAGACATTGCAGACCATTGCATTTCTCGGCTATTTGAAATTTGTAAAAGATGAAAAAAACAAACACTTAATAGCTGTTCCAAAGTCATGTCTGCAGAACTGGCACGATGAGTTTAGCAAATTTATTCCTGAAATGAAGGTTAAAATATTTCACACAAGCAAGTCTGAGATCAAAAAAGAGTCTAAGGTGCTGATCGACAAAAACTACGATGCTATTCTAACAACATATGAGATGTGTTTGTTTGCCAAATCATATTTAAAAGATGTTAACTGGTCATACATTATCATAGACGAAGCGCACAGGCTGAAAAACGAAAATAGCCAGCTAAGTAAAATCGTTAGGCTATTCAATTTCAAGCACAGGCTTCTTCTCACAGGAACGCCTCTACAAAACAATATTCATGAGCTTTGGGCACTGCTTAATTTTATTGTTCCTGACTTTTTCAGCAACTCAGAAAAATTTGAAAACTATGTTTTGAATGCCGATAAGGAAGAAAAGAGTATTGAAAAACTGAGAAATGTGCTTCAGCTGTTCTTCCTGCGCAGGGAAAAGATCGATGTTGAAAAAAACCTAATGGCTAAAAAATATGTCAACATCTACTGTCCATTGAGTGGCATGCAAAGAGAATGGTACAAATCCATACTCAAGAAAGATCTATCTGGTATATATCTTGATAGGGGTATTAAAACCACGCTTCTTAATATTGTAATGCAGTTAAAAAAGTGTTGTAATCATCCTTATTTATTTGAGGGGGCAGAGCCTGAGCCTTTTGAGACAGGCGAGCATCTTATCTACAATTCTGGTAAGATGATTATTTTAGATAAGCTCTTGTCTAGACTGAAGTCGAAGGGATCAAGAGTGCTAATATTCTCGCAGATGTCACAGATGCTTGATATACTGGAGGACTATGCTGTGTTTAGGGACTACAGCTATTGTAGGATAGACGGAAAGACATCATCAGAAGATAGAACTGCCGCGATTGAAGCATACAATGCATTGGACTCTGACAAGTTTTTATTTCTTTTGACAACAAGGGCTGGCGGCCTTGGGATTAATCTTTATACTGCAGACACTGTTATAATATTTGATTCTGATTGGAATCCACAAGCGGACTTGCAGGCCCAGGATCGAGCTCACAGAATTGGGCAGAAGAAGCAAGTTCACGTGTTCAGGTTTATAACCGACAATACCATAGAAGAAGGGATATATCTCAGAGCTCAACAGAAACTCAAGCTTGATGATATTCTCATCCAAAAGGAGCATAAAATTAACCACTCAGTCACTGAAAATGAGTTGATGGATATTCTATCACATGGAATTGATATAAGCCAGAATGTATCAACAGACATGAGCTTAGAAGAAATTCTTAAGAAGGGCGAGGACAAAACCAGGGAGTTTGAGAGTAGAATTCAGAGCTTCAAGATTGCAGATACAATTGAGAACAAAATCGATCTCTACCAGTGGGAGGGTGAAAACTATTCCAAAAAGAAGCTTGAAGAGTTTATTGCTGCCAATACCGACGAGTCGAAGCCTAAGCGGATATCATTGTTTTCAAATAAGAAGTTTAAGAGACTTATCTTTCCGGAATACCAGTTTTACCCCAAGGAATTCTATGAATTGCAAGACAAGGAAGAGATGTTGTTCAACCAGGACGAAAATCTCTCTGAGGAGGACAAGGCGCGCAAGGAAGAGCTTCTTCTAGAGGGCTTTGATTGGACAAAGAAGGACTTTAAAACATTCGTATCCGCCGTTGAGCAGTACTACGATGATATTGATAAGATCAAAGCATCGCTGCCGAATAAAAGCGATGTAGAAAGGTACTACAAAGTATTCATGGAGAGATATCATGAGATTTCCGATATTTACAGAATCCCTAGTTTATTAGAAAGGGCCAAGCAGAAGAATGATAGAAAACATAAGCTAAAAGAAGTGCTCAGTAGACCTAGGGACCAGATTGAAAGATACTTGATCTCCAAAAACAGGTTTTACATTGACAATATCCATCTTCTTATGCTCTATCAAGACCACATGGATAGCCCACAATGTTTCGATAAGATTCGTGATAGTATTTTACACGATGATGACCTGGCATTTGACTATTTTCTACTGACACGTTCAACTTCAGAGCTATCGAAACACATTAGTAATATGCTTTCTCAACTGTTAAAAGCATTTGATATTAAATAAATTGAGATTTATCACGTGTTTGTCTGAAAAGCATTGACAAGAATAAACGGTGGCTTCAGTGCTGTAGATTACACACAAAACATGTTGGATCCTTTTCAATCTCTATCGCATTTGTAAAAATGCCCGATGATCCATCAAAATAAACAAAGTCGTCTTTTATAGCGTTAAATGCCAAAAGCACTGCAAGATTTGCACATATTGAATTTATTGTGCACACATTGGGAATTATGTTTTCAAACATGCCTTTAACTTCAAATAATGATGTTTTAAGATCATCTGAGGCATTTAAGTTGAATCTATCGACAATCTCTTCGTATATCTCTTCATATTTTGGGTCACTGTGATTGTTCTCCACATGGATTTGTTCTTTTTTCTGAAAGATTATAGACTTTAGTACCTGATTTCGATTTTCAGCCGTTATTTTTTGGTTTAGTTTCTTTAAGCTGCAGATAAATGGAGCATTCTCATCACTGTAAAAATCTCTTATGCAATATAGACAAGAGGTGGCCCTTGTTACTCTTTTAGCATGCGCTTTTAGTCCCTCAACACCACAATCCACCATCATTTTACATTTCGAGTGAGAAAATGAATAATTCATCTGCATTCTGGATGACACACTGTCTAAACAAGAAAAAATAACGTCAAAGGAGCCTAGAAATGAAGAACTAGTGTCTTCTATTTTGCCTATTATGTATTTTGAATTTGTTTTTTCGGCAACAACCTTTGCTTTGAATTTGCCTGCATCTTCCTTTTGAAAATAAAACTGTCTATTTAGATTACTTGTTTCAATAGTATCGTAGTCTATTACAGTGACACTGCACTTCAGTATCTTCAGTATTTTTACGACTTCCGATCCCAATCCGCCACTTCCAACTATCAGCACATTTGGATTGGACATAACAGGGATCTGTGTTTTCAGGAAACTTTCGCCAGACAGCAATTCACAGCGATAGGTTTTGAACCATCGCAAACAGTCTAAACGGTAAGCAAGCAGCAGCCACCTGCATAGTATTTTACAATAAGAAAAGAATAGAGACGGAGACAAGCTCAAATTCATATTTAATACACAGCATCTATCTGTCCATATCCATTTTGGAGAAATCTAAACCAGCTTCAAGAGAAAGTTCATCCCAGCTTTCCAACCCTGATATGCTAATTTGATGTCGAGTACAACTCTAGTAGCTTGTTGGACATAAATTCAATACAGCTAAAAGATGCAGTCGTGAGTTTGTATTTCTCGCTGAATATTTCATACATTTCCACATCGTCCATCGTTTTTTCATTTTTTAGCTCACTAGCAACATAATTGGTAAAGATCGTACATGTCAAAAGCTCGTCAATCGTAAAATATATCGACAAGGGAGTTTGCATGATATCATTGAGCATAATCCAGCATCTTCTGCTAAAAACTGAGTCAAACTGCTTTTCCTTACAAAGCCTTTCAAGTCTTGTATAAATCTCTGAAATCTCAAAGTTGAAATCAAGAACAACCGACAATTCTATTTCCGTTTTATTTATTGAAGTTGTGTACAGCTCCATAATGGACTGGTCTATTTCAATCGAGTAATGCTTTGATGCCAAATGCATAATTTTTTCTAATGGTCTGAGTGTCTCACAAATCTTGCATGCTAAATTTATAACCGAGGAAATAAGAACAACATCGTCTGGCTCTATTTTACTCTCTGCCTTTGCGGCAAAGAAAATGTGGTTGGAAATGGCCAGAGTCTTTTGGGGGAGATGGAGGGCCTTACAGATGTCGGAAATAGCTAACATGTCGTCTTCACAGATACTTGGCTGTAGACTGTTGAAACAAGCAATGCTTTCGTCAAGCCACATCTTCCAGTGAAGGGCTTTGTGATGTGTGCAAATTTTGAGAAATTTTCGAAGTGTCCAAGCGAAATAGTATCGAATTTTAAGCAAAAGCACAACAATTCATCAACAGATATGTAAATGACATATCACCCTATTGACCAATCCTATGCTAAATCTTGGTAATCGTTGATATCGAACTTAAAATAGGAAAATTAGAAACTTAGTGTATGCATGCTGCCTTCAATCATAGACTGGTTATAAAAGAACAGAGCCAGCTATATAAATATTTAACTAACAGATGATATTACCAGCTCTCGAAACTTCTCATGCTGCTGTCTACACATCTCAATGCCTTTGTTTATCGCTTCCTCAAATTGCATTCTTTGAACCTTTCCAAAGGACTCTAGATAAAGAATCTTATCGTGGTTGGGACAGTATACAATGCATACTGAGAATGATTTGCTTTCTTCATGGTATGTAAGATCGGCATTTTCATTTAATGTAGCCGAGACGCACATATCTGATAGACTAATTCCGCTATATGCACATACTAGTGTGATCGAGTTAACAATAACGGAAAATATACTCCCATCGTCACCTAAAACATCAACGTTAATTTCTATTTGATTGTCAAAGCCCACCAGTCCAGAAAAGATCGCAAAAACCTTCTGCTTCATTTCGTACACACGTCTTTCATTTATAGCTTCGTTTCTGCTTGTTTCTAAGAAGTTGATGCTTATTGCTAATTGCTGCTTCTCTCGGTTCTGTGAAATAGAAGTGTTGGCAATTGAGTTTCCTTGCCTCCAGTAGACAAATCCCTTGTCTCCTATCTTTTTAAAGGAGCATTCGGTCCTTCTTACTTCATCTGGAAATCGGCCGTCATTTCGAAGCACTGTAGCATCCATTTCGGGGTGCGTAGAAATAAACGATGGTGTCAAACACATAAGGCTGGAAAAGTCTTAAAAGTAAATTGAAAAACTATGCAGAGCCAAAGTGGTGGCATTGCGGAATGCAGCAGCATGCATGTCCTTTGCATATTAGGTTTATTGTTTGCGGAGATTTGTAAGGTGCTGTAGCACATCTCTCTCAAGATTCAACACATCAGTTAATCGCAGATCATTTTCAGGACTATTGCTCCTGAATTTTATGCCTTCTTGTGTTAGACATATTCTTTTGCTTTCGTCTAAATATATTTCACCAGAATCGGATTTTCCAGCCAAGTTCCCAAAGACTTTCTTAAGAAATATGAATCTGTTTGCAAGAAAGAACTTGTGGAGAATGTGAAACACTTTTGAATCATTTGCTGTAAAAAGACTTGTCATTTTGGCTATTTGAAGCATTTTTGGGCCTGTGATGAGATACACATCATTTTTGAATGCAACTTCAACTATTTCATCTATAAAATCGGAAAAATCAAAGCACAATCGATTTTCAGTAAAGATCGTGGGTATTAGATTGTAGGTATAGAATATGCCAAACTTTTTGATATAGTTGAATCCACTGCTGATGTTGAAGTGCTGCAAATCTTCAGTCAAAGTTTTGATGCACGTTTTAATGGAATCCGTAATTTTAACTGTGATGTTCATAAATGAAAACACCATCACTTCACCAATTTTGTTTTCTGAAATTTCTATGTTCTGGGGCATGCCATCTTGAACTGCCATGAGGCGGATTTTATCAACGAGGTTTCTGATCAAGGAATCCTTGTAACTAGTATTGGCATAGTTTGCTGGAATATTTACGCACCCAACATTGCCGATATTCTGATGCACCATATTATTTGCAGTTTTGAGAGTAAATCTATCAATATTAATGAGAGTTTTTGAGCCATGATTGTCAAGATGGTATAGATTGAATGATGAATCAACATAGAACGACCTGGCCGATAGACATTGATTGATTTTGCATTGGATATTTAGATCTCTCAGCTCATGAAGAATCATAAGAAAGCCAATATTGCACTCTATAAAGTTAGTGAAGTTTTCAATGGCTATGGTATCTTGGCCACTAACATCAAAGTTTTCGGTCACTGCAGTGACTTTTGAATCGACAACTATGAAGTGCAACTTTTGAAATGCCAGTCCACAAATGGGAGGCATTTTTCCAAAAAAGCAGACACCTTGTGCTTTATTGAGACAAAAGAACATATCTCTGATGAAAATTGCTATGTTTGGGCCAAAAATACCAGGCTTGAATCCCATATCTGCATTATCGGTCTGTGATATTACCTCGTCTCTCTTCGGCTCTTTAAGGGCATTAATATCCAGCAAATATCCTTTGATCTCGTCAATGTCGCTGTTTTTAAATTTCTTATACTGATCCTTGTTGGATATTTTGCAGTAAAAATCATTGTGTTTAAGATATCCCTGACAGTCGATGCCATTGACTGTGCCAGTAAAATTTTGATAAAACCCCGTTTTCGTCTCAAGAAGATTAAAGACACTCAAGGCTTTTTTCTTGCTTTCAAAAAACTTCATAAACTTTACAATAGAATCTATAGTCGCAAGTCTTCTCAAGAGCTGATCATCCACTTTTCTACTATTAGTATAGGACTTAACCTTGAATAGCTGCCACTGCGGCCTTTGATAGAAACCACACAGCGCCAATTTGAAGGTAAAAAATTTCGATTGAAGGTGCAGTATTCCATTTTCTATTCTGAAATTATCAACACTTTCTCTTAGCAGGTATATTTTCATCATTCTATGGATATGTACAAGGTCCTCCTCGAATATTAGATTCTGGTCTGTATTACGGTATAGTTCAGTGAATATACTTTTGTTTCTACCAAGTAGCCTATATATTTCTATCGGCAGTAGTTTACGATAATCCATGAATGCTTGCAGGGCAAGATTGAAGTTTGGACGTGGTATGAAGCTTGTTTTCATATTTTCATAAAGGATCGCCAAAAAGTCTGCCATTTCTACAATTTTGTAACCGTAATTGGCACAATCGTCGCCTTTAAACTTCAAATAAAGCAAGTTCTTTAGCAGAAATGCGCCCTTTACAAATGTCTGTAGCAAATCCAGATCCTTGAGCTTTCTACTAGCGAACTCGATGATTCTGTTTCTCGAAGCATGTTCTTGTATCGAGTGATAGTCTGAAAGAATAGCATTCAGCTCAAAAAACACATTTTGAAAATAGAGAGTAAAGAACTGATCCAGGCGAGTCGTATTTTGTTGTTGTGCTCTGCTTCTTGTTTTTATTCGGACTCTCAGCATGGCAGGGTAAATTTTGAAAATTGTTTCATAGCAGCTACTCTTCTACAGTGGCATTAGATGTTCGCGCCACTTTTTGTACACTAAATAAAGGACATTGGTTTTTATTGTTCCTTTTCAGTCCAAAGTATCACAAACATTTCCAAATTTGTAGCATTTGCAAGCTTCATTCAAAACTAGCTGTAATTAAAACCATAGCCTTTGTGTAAGGTTAAGACATTTATTGTTATTGCTCTAATGATGACTTGCTAATGAAGAAGAGATTGTATCTAAACTTCTTTGAATGCATCCACAACTTGTAGCAGGTTATGGACACGATGAATATGAAATACAACACTAAAATTGGAGCATATACTGGCAGGTCCAGGAACGGAAAATATGTTATGAAAAACGCCACCGCAATTATTTGTGAACACATTTTCCAGAAATCAAACTCAGGAAGACGTCGGACATATGGTCTAAAGTCATTATCGATATTTCTTGGATTGTAGCTCTCATCTTCAGTGTTTTCAAATGGATCCGGGATGTTTTCATCCTTTGGTGTCAGAAATAGAATGGTGGCATGAAGCAAATAGACCCCCACGAAGTAAGTTACTACGGAGTGGGTTTTGATTCGCAGTATTCTACGTATATACAAAAGCAGAAGAAACCCGGTAAACGTCCATCTTGGATAGATCAGCGGAGAAAGATTATCTGCAATGTATTGATCTAATGTTCCAAAATCCATGGGTGCGGAAAGACGTTGAAAATTTAAAAAACAGAAACCAAGTAAAAGACAAGATCGGGACTTGTGTTTAGGTATTTTAATGGTAGGCTTAGGGTATCTTTAGTATAAAGTAAATAATTGCCCAGCTCATTTGATATTGCATGCCGCTGGATAAAATAGTGAAATATAGAAAAGTACATGCTACATAGCATACTGGATTACAGACTTGTCATTTTTGATGATATGCATCTTTTTTAGAGCTAGCTTGGCCTAATTGCGAATCCACACTGCGTTTTGAACACATACAACTGCTGAATTCCTGCATATTCGCCGTACTTTTCTGTCCACATCCTTTGGATTCCTGAGTACATCTTATCTGTTAATGTTTTATGCTTCAGATTAAACTCCTTTATGGAGTATCTGATTATGTGGGTGTCAAGAGGAACCACATGAAAAAACCTCAACGAGGTCAAGCATATGCAGTCAGCCACTTTTCGTCCCACTCCCTTTATGTTCATTAGTATGCTTCTTGCAGATTCGAATGAAATTGCAGACCAGTTAACATTGTTATCTTGTAAAAACCGTGCGGCGTCGATAATAAATGTAGATCTATACCCAAACCTTTGTTCCTGCAAATTTAATAAACTTTTCTCAATGGTCTTCAAGTCAGGAAACTTAAAAACCTTTAATGCTCTGAAAGCGTCAGAGATTTCATCTATTCCCGGCAGAACACTGCAAACGTGGCTCCCATTTATAGTGCCACTCTGCTTGTATCTGGAAAGCATGGCCTCTACCTCAAAGGGCGTCCCCAAAGAATATATAAACTTGACCATTTTGCTGATTCGCTTTATATTATTGTTTGAACTGCAAATAAAAGAAAATATTGCGGAATTAATGTCGTTTGTAAGAAACCTGAGTCCGTCTTCCTTAAGGCTGCTGGGCAGCTGAACATCTAAGTTGAAGAACTTTTCCAAGGCTTGTTCAATCTGGTCACATGTCTCAACAAAATACACTTTTCTGTTGTACTGTGCGAGAATTGCAAGACAGTTGTGAACATTTCCAAGGAAAAGAGTGTTATTTGCATGTTCAAAGTGAAATATCTGCCCGCTAAAAAGAGTCTGTTTCAGATCGATAAAGCAGTGGCTGTTCAGTTCTCTCCACATGGGCATAGTGCATCCATCCTATTAGACCAAGGCTGTGCTGTAAATAAATTAAGCAACAACTCGACCGTAGGGCCGAGTCAAACATGATCTAACGTAGCTGGGCCCAGTCTTGTTAAACACTTTCAAAGTATAGTGCACAAGTGAAATTTTTTAACAAACAGTACCCAATGGAAACGAAAAGTTGCGAAGAATTTATTGTGGGATTCTGTCCAAATGAAGAATTCTATGTAGAGCATGTGACAGCAAAGTGTCCGCATCCACATATAGCATCTGAAAGAAATGAGTATTCCACAGCAAAAGCCGCATATTCGTTTGAGCATAAAGTTCTCGAGCACTTTAAGGAAATTCTCGACGAAGTAGATAAGAAAGTGGCCATTAACATCCAAGTGACGTCAAAGGAGACAGTAGACGAAAGCCATTATGATGCGTTGAATGAGTGCGAATCACTCATCGAGCTTAAAAATCCATTCGACTTTGATTTTGAAAAAATTCACAGTTTGCTGGTTTTGCATGGAAGACTAATAGAACATATTGATCTGAGCAAGACATCAAGGGCACTTGATGTCTGTAAGAATTGTGGCGCCTTCAAGGAGTACTCAAAGCCCTGTATTCATAAGTTTTGTGAAAAGTATCAAAGGCTAAGAGATATTGTTAGTAAACTTGAAAGAAAACTGCCACAAAAGCCAACACTTAGCTGATTCACTAGCATTTGTTGCTGGCAAAGCTTGGCATGGAGTATTTGAGCAACGGTGTGATTATTTATGGGGCAATACAGCCTTTCAGCTAGTATGTGGTGGCTAATAAAATGGTAATGGTCTGTGTCAAAGACATCACAAATTAAGTGTTGAATAGATAAGGTATTATGCTTGTGTTGCATTGGTCTATAACCTTGAAAAACTATCTAAACTTTTCACATCAACGGATATTTACTCTAGCCAGCAGCACTGTTTATTTTTTCTATTATTTTACTGATCAGCTTATCCTCCAACCTTGATAAGCTCGGAATACAGATTTTAGCCTCACTCACTGACTGGGGGAGTAAAGTTATAACCATAGCAACTTCCTCCTGATTTAACCCAAGCTCCGTCAAAAAGAACTTCAAATCGACAAGTGCGGACTTGTCTTCAATTTTGCAAAACATTTCGGCGTATTCAAGTGTCTTTGTATAAATCCGATAGGACTCTGCCCTTGTATTTTTATAGCGAGTCTTGAGTGGTGCCAATAAATGATATGCTTCACTGATTGAGATCGGGAGCGGCTCTTGGCTGCTCTTCATTTTGGGATAGAAAGCAAAAAATGTTTTTGGTGGGAAAATTTGGAGAAGAAGAATCGCATGCCAGGACCAATCTAAACGATAAAGATGGAAGGATGTACTTAATTTGCAGAGAATGTATTAATGTGCTACTAGTTGATTGTCTTATCCTTCATTATCTCAAATATGTGTGCCAGCACATTTCATAGTTGCTCTTAATGTGGGCATGAAGCTTCCTAATCTCCACCCTTAGTGCATGGCACAGCAAATAGAAGAATATTTGGAAATTGAGTCTGAATGTGCTCAGGAACTAAAGATATTATACAAGTATTCGAAAACTTCATGAGAAATATTCGTTGGATGATATAGAATGGTTTTACAGATGCTTTGCTTGCCGTTTTGTAGATTTTGGTTTTCAGAAGTGTATGGTGGTTGAGATATTCTACAGATGCGAGGAACTTATGAGTTTTGTTGATGATAGACTGTTTCTGGATGTTATTTCCAACTGGTTTGTTCTGAGAAATGGGCTTTTGTTGTGCTTCCAGTCATCAAAATTGGCTTTGCCGGATTACTTAAGTAGCTTGAATAGAAACTCGACAGTCGAATATACGTTTTTGATTGAAAGAAGCAGACGGGTAGTCGATTTTGTAAACCAGGGCCGGATTTTTCCGTTTATGACAGACTGCCGTCTAGACGAAATCAAACTAAGCAAGAGCACGTTTAGGTATCTCATTTGCAGAAGAGTTGATATTCCTTCACTAATGGCCTACTGCGATCTTTCAAACGAGGAAGTTCAACTAATTGCTGAAAAAATAGTAAACGATCAAGGGTTTCGGAATGGTTGTAGGAAATTCATCGAGGATCAGGGCATATTAAGTAGCACTATGCTGATTATTGCATCCCTATGTAATGCCAAAGCAGAGTTAAGAAATAGCGTCTCCCCTAGCATTCATAAGTACTACTGTGGGAAGCATTTTGATAGTATCTACATGCCATTTTCTGCTTTTTATCCTATTCTTGAATTATCACAGTTAGAGGTATATTTTCTGTATTTATTTCACAAATCTGATATTAAGCATGACCTTGAAGACATTGTCGAGTCGCTCAAGACTAACAATACGATTTGTGAAATGCCAAATTCCAGCACGATACTCGAGCCAAGCTTTTTTTCAATAGATTGCAGACTACCAGCGACTATAAAAGAGCGATCAACGCAAGCACAGATCTTAGACTTGGTGCTGAGTAAAGGCTATTCGATTGGGTATGATCCCGATATTTATAAATATTTGCCTGAGTTACAAAATGAGACGTATTTTCAGAGTGTTTGTAAAAAGTTTGCCAGGGAGATAATTGAGGATGAAATTTTTGATCCGTTACCTGTATTTTTGAAGGACATATCCCCTGTGCTTGATTATTTAAGATTAAAAGTGTCTGATGAAAGTAGATATGGGAATACTAACACTGGTGCGAAGGACACGAGAGCGGATTTCTCCTCTCAGCACAATAGCTTTGTGTGTAGCCTTGATACGTTGCATACGTCTGTCCTTCTATCAAGCTCAGAGTTCTCATCTGAAAAGCCCAAGTATCATGATGCTCTTGAAAATCGTAGTGAGATTGATGCTGCGCTTCCACTTTTGTACTTCAGAGAATGCGAGTGGTTAGACGATGACGAAAGGTTGGTTTTGCTAGAATATTACATGGCTAAGCTTGACATTAATGTTGTTGTAGACAATTTTCTATGCACAAAGAATCCTTCAGCTAAAACAGTGCTATATTTTACAAATAATATACAGAACATCGACGATAAACTGCTCAGAGCCAGGGTGTGTTGTAAGCTTTCTATTCCGTTCAATTCACATGATCTTTCTGAAGCAGATATCAAATTTATTGTTGATATGTCTGACGATGTATTCCAGCTCAGACAGTACATGTACTCCAACAAGATCTCCAAAACATGCATTGCAAAGTTTATATCGAAGCTTACAGCAGAACAAACAGATGTCATGTTGAGTGAAATAGATTGTGTTGGTGCAAATCCAGATTTTCTTGCTGCTTTTATAACCCACATTACATCACAGTATGAGTTTTCATATATTTGCAATTTGCTATCAAAACTTCTTGACCTGAAGGTAGCAGAAATAGTTAAGAAAATTCAGAAATACCTTATTAGGCTATTCAATGGTTTGTTTGTTCAAGAAGATTACATTCCTCTGGCCGAGAGTTTGTATTCAAGGATGCTTGGATTTGAGGATTGTGAAATCAAAAGCAACAACGACAAAATATTAATTTTAATTGGCAGTGCAGCCAAGATGATGAAAAAGGAGCCATTCATTGGCAATTTAAAAGCAAATGAATAAAGCCATCGGTTGTTTAAACTATTTACTTTCTGATTTCAAAGATGCCAAAGATTCTTTTGGTAACTGATATCCGCTTGCTTGAAGCATTCCAATATTAATTTATTGACCCTACTCTCCATAATTTTTGAGCCAGAGCAAACCACAAAAATTCCTTTAGCCCCCGATGCTCTTGGAGTATGAAAAGGAAATCTTAGAAAACATCAATCATGAAGCTTGTCTTGCAGTGATGTCAAAGGGGCTGAGATATACTGAGATTGTTCTTGCACTTTTGAAAATGTATTCGAATGAATACTGTCTTTCTTTTGTCTTGAACATGAATGAGTATGAAAATGAGTATTTTTCAAAGCAGGACATTCCCCTCTTTTGCAATGTAGGCAAGCTTGCTGCTAGTCAGAGATCTGAAAAGTATAAAAGCGGAGGAGTTTTCTACGGAAGCCCAACGGTCTTGGCTAGTGATTTTGTGAATAAAAGTGTGCAAATAGAAAAAATAAGTACGCTGATGATTTTAAATGCAGAAAATATTGAACCTGATTCCGCCATTTCTTTTATATGCTATCTATTCAAAGAAAACAACTCCCTTGGGCTAATAAAAGCATTTACATCCGATGCCATCAAGATCTACGAAAGTGGTTTGGAGCAGATTGCAAGGTCTCTGTGCTTGAATAAAATTTTATTTTACCCACGGTTCCATGAATTGGTAAAATCATCACTATCTGAAATAAATGTGACTCAAGTGCATCTGAGGCAAAATGAGTTCATGGGCGAAGCTACATTGCTGATCGAGGATGTTATTAAGAAAGTATACTCAAATGCGCATGGAGGCGTTGGAGAATTTGAGTATATGAAAGTACTGATTTACAACCAGCAAAGCCATGACATTGCTAATTTCAAAAAACTGATTTCTCTTTTGTTTAACACTGATTCGCTAACAACATTTTTGTACTATCAAGCAATGATAGACCAACAAAAGAAAAATAACTCTAGCAGCTCGTGGATCTTTGATGGATCAAGCCATGCTCTTTTGGATGTTTTGAGGAAAATGCTACAAAACGACGTTGAGAAATCAAACGAAAATACTGCATCATTTGTGTTTGATATTGTCAGTGACACATTTAGATTGGATTTAAATCCAGAGGAGCCGAAGCGTATCAAACTAGACCCAGAGTTGTCGCACGAGTGTCTTTGTAATGAAGTAAATACTATCAAAACTGCTAAAAACCTAGGCATTGATGAGAACATCAATAAATCCTGCATAGACGAGCATAAACAACAAGATGTAGAGAGCAATGAAAAGGAGGATGTTCTATCTGAGATTTTTGAATCCAAGTTGCTATCAGGGTTTTATCTTGCAAATCCTAAAATTAAACAAATTGCTGAAATATTAAACCAAGACCTAAAAGCTAAGACAGCCATACTCGTTCAGAACAGAACAGTTAGAAAAGCAGTCAAGCAGGTGCTGGTGAGCATTTTTATGTCTGATATTAATGTTAGTATTTTTACTCACGTTGAATTTTTGCATTCGGATGATTGTAATTACAAAAGGATTATTCTACTGAATCCAGATCTGTTGTCAATTAGAAATGTTGAATATACAGCAACGAAAGGTGGAGCTCCTTCTGTTTTTATCCTTCAGTATAAAAATACTGTTGAGGAGCAGCGCTTTTTGGAAGAAATCAGAGAGGAGAAGTATGCTTTTGAGAAGATAATTGAAGATCGGGCTCGATTGCCTCTTAAAGTTGGGTTAGACAGAATAGACATGGATGATGGCTCACCAGATTGCAGGTATACGGTTACTGTTGATTCCAGAGAAATGAGATCCAAACTGCCATTTTTTCTTTACAGAGCGGGCAATGAGATTAACATCAAGGTTTTGGAGATCGGAGATTACTTGCTAGGCACAACCAAGTGCATCGAGAGAAAATCAATTGAAGACTTCCTTGGATCATTAAACTCAGGCCGTTTATATCAGCAGGCGCAGAGACTAACACACGCGTACACAAATCCAATACTTCTTCTCGAATTCAACGAGGGCAAGCCAGTGCTTGGTGACTTTGACGATGTTGAAAACTTTAGAAATTCGTATATTGCCAGGTTTTGTCTTTTTTTGTACAATTTTCCTAGTTTCCAGGTCATATGGTCGAATTCCCATACCAATACCGTTAGGATTATTAGAGATATGCAAAAGAGAGACGAGGCTGAACAGAAAAGCGCCGACGAATATGATCCAGAGCTGATTGAGACACTGCTATGCATCCCCGGAATCAATAGCTTCAGTCTAAACAGAGTATGTAAAGAATTCAGAAATCTGTACGATCTTTCAGCAAGCAAAATGGAAAGACTAGAAAAGGTGCTTGATAGCATATCTGCAACAAAGGTGTATAATTTTTTCAGGCACAAGTTTTATGAGGATACCAAATAGCCATCAGAATAAAAGACCTTATTGATATACTATTGCTAGTATTTTATAATTGCTGAAACCTGCCAGAACTGGTCACTATGTGTGGCATGTTGCTATCAATAAGCATCAGTGGTGGCGGGTTCCAATATTTTCTGTGAAAACGAATTACGATCATTCAGGTTTTCACAGGCCTAATCTTTTGTATCAGTTTTATCGTTCCTTTTTGAAAATTTTAAATACTTGAGCCATGAAAAACAAAACATCAGATTTGGCAAGTAATGAGGAATGCAGGAAAGTATGGGAAATATCTGATGCCCAGGCTACTATAAACCATGGCTATTCCCTAGAATTAATTGATCCAAATTGTATCATGCGAGTTAATAGCTGCTTTGTCGAAGAGCTAACTCTTGATGATGTTTCCTTGAAATCTCAGCATGAAAACATCTGCAACAAGGATGCTTTGAACTGTAAGAACACGATGAAACTTAGCAACATACAGTCTGTGGAACTTGAAAATGCCATAGAAAGTGCAGAGGGCAAGGGGGGCAAATTTGTGATGCCTAGGAGTATGGCAAGTCCATTCAGATCGCCAATAACACCGAATGTTGCAAATTTAAAAGTAAGAATTGAAGATAGGGTTTCTTCTAAATTGTTAAAAGCTGAAGAAAAGAGCATTAGAATGCTTGATGCAAATGTTGCAGCAGCAAGTTACATCAAAAACAGCTCTGACATTGATATGGATAACGGCCACATGGCTAGACAAAAAAGACGTTCATCTGTTGCTGCAGAGATTAGGATCAAAAGGCAGATCGAAGAAGACACCAAGGCTTCAAAAAACGACGATTTCGTAAAATCTCCATTTGAACTGATGTTTTGTGGAATTTCCAAACCTAAAAAGTTGCCACTTAAAATACAAAGCGAAGCCTCAATTTTCGATATTTTCAACATTAGAGCATCTATTTTACAAGACAGGACAAATTCCCCAAGAAAATCTGGTGTCTTTAAGCACAAGTGCATTTCAGATGAGGATAAGATGCTCAATTCCAGGTTCTTTCTAAACGAAGATCCATCCATAGAAGCTAGCAGGCAAGATTGTGCTGAATCAGTTGGTGAAAATCAGTCTATACTGGAGCACAATGACACTTTTGAGTGACATTTCGGAATATCTTCCAGACAAAAATTACTATAAATTAAAGGAAACGAACACAAAACTAAATGAAGGATATACGACTATTGAGCCAAAGCGGAAAGCCATCATTGAAATTTCCAATTGCCCCAAATCGTTTTTTAGAAAAAACAATCGACCACGGCGGGTTTGCTTCTGCACTGACGCTTCAAATGTTGTGCATAATCCTGGTGGCACAATCAATCCAATTATTGAAAAATCCGCCACGGTCGAGCCTAGCTTTGAGTGGAGTGGCGAAAAACAAGTCGTAGAAATTGTCAAAAGAATTGATTTGTGGCCGGAGATGTCCCAAGATGATTATGTTTGCAGACCAATAGACAAAAAGCTGAATCTTGAAAATTCATAAAAATACAAGTATATAACTAAGGCACTAGGGAAGATCCAGTGATATTGAAAATAGCCAAAGAAGCGCCTCGACTGAAAAGATCTCCAATGTTGTTATATAAATCTGTGTGAAAAGCATCAACTTTGGGTATTTTCTACTTGCTTTTAAAATGTTTAAAGCCCAATGGATCCTCCATCCACGAAATGCCAAAAATAATAGCTGTCATGAGCGGGAAAGGCGGTGTTGGCAAATCGAGTGTTTCCATTGCAATAGCGGCTATTGTCTCAGAAAAATACTCGACTGTTCTTTTGGACTTTGATATCTGTGGGCCAAGTACAACAACAGCACTGAATGCTACTGGCAGTCTTATAAAAGTAGAAAATGGATTTAAGCCAGTAAGCTGCAGCAGTACTTTGGATGTTCTCTCCTTTGGATCTATTCTCAATCCAAGTGATGCTGTCATATGGAGAGGTCCTAAGAAGCTTATGTTTCTTAATCTTTTTTTCAATTCTATTCAAAGCTACGACTATGTGATCATTGATACGCCGCCAGGTATTTCAGAAGAACATGATTTTCTTGCAGACAAAGGCGTAAGTGTTATTATTGTTACTACTCCCCAAAATATCTCCTTGAATGACACGCAAAGATGCATTGAATTCTGCTTGAGCCGAAACATTAGTATTTTAGGAGTCATTGAAAACATGTCAAGTTTTAGATGTGAGTGTTGTGGCGAGATAGTCCATCCCTTTGGATCCAAAGGTGGAAAACAGCTGTCCGATGAATATGGGTTGAAATTTCTGTGTGAGCTACCGATTGAGGCAAGATTTTCAGGACTGATTGATGCAGGCAGGTTCAAGGAAGGATACAAGACACTAGAAACGTGCGAAATTATCAGAAAGATTCTTGTCGGTGAACTGTGTCTTCTCAAATAATTAGTAGATCATGCATTAAATATGTTTTATTAACTATTTTAAACAAATCTCTGTGGCTGACAATATGCCACTTCTCTGTCATTGCATTTTGCACAATCTACACTACTACTACATTAACACGAACGAGTGTTGGACGCTTCATAGCATTAACTAAATAGTAGTAGCCGAGAGTGGATGGTTAAACGCTAATTAATTTAATATATTAACTTGCCGAGTCAGCAACAAAAAGTGTTCTTTCTGGGTTTTCTCAATCTTACGCCATCAACCGTTTTCCGTATGTCCTTTGGAAGCGCCTCGGCAATATCCGAAAACATTTTTTGAATGTTATGTCCTGTTTTAGCACTAGTCTCGTAGAACATTAAGCCTTCGTTTTCAGCATAGGCTCTCCCAACTTCGGGGTCTAGCATGGCACTCTCTCTCAGATCCATTTTATTAGCCACCAATACTTTCAAGAATTCCTGGGGCTTGTCGTATTTTAATTCCTCAACCCATCTTTTGGCACTTTCAAATGATTCTTGTGAGGTAATATCATAGACGATCAAAGCAACCTGGGCACCACGGTAGTACATTGGAATTAAAGAGTAGTACCTTTCCTGTCCTGCAGTGTCCCAGATTTCGTATTTTACGGCACATCTATTCTGAAAGATCGTCTTTGTCAGAAACGATGCGCCAATTGTGCTTTCTTCTCGCGGGTTGAATTCTCCCTTGACAAAGTTCAACACAATTGATGATTTTCCAACAGAGTAATGGCCCAGCACAACCATTTTGTACGTAAATGTCTTCATATCTATCGGCGGGTCCATTTGGTATTGCTAGTTTTGAAATTTTCATCACTTTCTAGTTTGAAACAGTTGTTTGGACTATGAGACAGCTGCCTATCTGAAACACAACACTGCTCAATGCTCAAGTATTCAAAGTCCTGCTTCTGAAAAATCATATCGTGCCTAAACTTGCTGCCAATCAAATCACATTTTAATATTTATGACAGCAATTATAATTAATATGAAGCCGAGCAGCTGGAACAGCACTGCACAACAGTGTCCTGGGATGTGCCGATCAACTTGTTGAGAACTAAAACTGTGGCCGTAGAGCCGTGATCTCTCTGAATGCTTGTAATTGCCCTGCCGCATTTTATTTATGTTCCCAGTGGATATTATGCATATGTTTGTTTTTCTCAAAGTTCATCTAAAGTCTTTGTTTATTTGCAAACTATGGGTGGAGGTGAAAATAAGGTTGACATATACAGCAAAATAGCAGCAGTGCCATCTTCTATCCAAATACTTGGTGCACCAAACAGCTCGCAGTCTGCAGAATCTCCAAAACTGGACGAAATTGATGCAAATGCGCACGAGACTTTCACACTTGAGGAGATGAGAGTGCTGATAATGAGCTACAGAAAGAAAAACAAGGATTTTCTAATCGCAAGAGTCACCACCCCTGACCCGGAAAACAATTCGCTGTTCTATAATTTCTACTATGCAGCTGCTGAGATCAATAGAATACTTTTCAGGTACGAACCGTCTCGCAGATTACTACACCGTATGAAAGTAAAAAATCCACTGAACAACATGTATATTATTGGCCAGGTATTCTACTACAAAATAACTCCACAGGATGTGGACAAAGCAATTGTCAACTTCTTATTCAACCAGGTAAAAGAAAAAGACAAATCTAGAAAGGCATTCAGCGCAATATTTAGGCACAAGCATGACTTTTCAAGAGGCAGAAAAACACAGAAGTCCAAAGATTCAATGGACATTCAGGAGCAGAGACAGATAGTTGAAAACCTCGATGGAAAAAGCTCGAAAGAAATCATTGAGAATATATCCGTGGGAAAGATCCCGATGCCTGAAAAAATAGATTTTAACAAAAAAATAAAGTATGATGCAAAGTATTTTGCATCTGATGATGATTTTTTGATCAAACAGGATGTTAGGGATTATTTCAAAAGGAATGCCCTTGAGCCTGAAGATGAATTCTTGTATGATTTAGACAGAACGCAAAATGACTTCATGGCACTCATTGATGATGATTCGGAAGAAGAAGAGGAAGAGGTTAACGATTGGAGGAGGGTGCTTTCAGCACACATCTCTCTAGCACTGTCGATGCTATTTGTATGTCTTCTGATGGGAGGAGGACCTGGAATTGCAATAATATTTTTACCGCTGGCTGTAATTATATTTTTTTCTTTTATTTCATCGCTGTGCTATGTTTTGTGCTGCAGAAGAAGTACATTTGACACACTGGCTGTGAATAGCATAGAGGATGAACTTTAATAAATAAATGTTATTACAGATGAAAACTGCTTTGTATAAACCTTCACTTCGCGAAAAGTCAGCCGAGATGATTGATGGCGAAGATTTCCAAAATACGCACATGTACTCATCGTTAGAGGCGTACCCAAGGACACCGAGTGTTTGCTTTTCTCATACATTCTAGCTGGCACAGGGCCTGCTCTCTTATAAACATACATTTTAATAAACTTTGCATCTACTTCGGTTGACTAAAATACTTTAATCCTTTTTATCTAAACTGCATAATGCAGTTATCAAATACTCTTGAAGTATTGAGTATATTCCAAGCCTCCAGTTTGTGGGTCTGAACCGGCTATTGTTTTTATAAACATCCAGTAGGACGATTGACATCAGTGCGGTGATTCCGCCAAGTGTGTATCTCATGCTTCCGTTCAAAGCTAGATCCATTTTAGGGTTGGCGCTATTCCCTGATACGAAAATATTAAAAATGAAGGCAACCAAATTAATAACGTATATATTTGCACAGGGAAAACAGAAAGCAGAATATAAGGTTTGTCTATGGAATCTTCTCTTTATAAAGCTATTCTGAATATACAATGAGGGCATTGAAATTAAAGGTGCCGCCAGAAATGTCATAGCCTTATGTATGTCAATTTCTAACTGCTCTGATAAGTTTTTTGTGATTTTTAGCGCTTGGTTGAAAATGAAATTTTGAATTGAAAGAGAAACGATTGCACTGTACACGTTCAGGATGTAAGAGTACTGGACCTTTTTGTACACAAATGTAATTACAGCGCTGGAAACCAATGAAACAGTGGCTGCAGCAAATAGCCAGTTCAGATCTAACAGCTTGCCGTAGTAATATAAAGAAAGTAATGAAAAGGTGGCGGGAGAGAAGAAAATTTTAAATGGCAGCGGCAATGAATAGGATTTCAGCTTCGTATCTGGAATAATAATCAAGTTTTCTAAAACTATTTCAAAAGGAAGCAATGTGAGTGTGATGACCTCAGAAAACATTGTTGAGGATATTTCAACCGAGTTTGGCTCATTTAGTGATGATTCTGGTACGGCAAATAGTCTTTTTAGTATATAACAAATAATTAGTCCGGCTGCCGTAATGCTTATTGCACCAGCTGTTGCCTGAAAATGCCCAACGAGGCAAGAGGACAGGGCAAACAAATACAGCGCTCCAAATAACGGCAAGCATTCGCTTTGCACTACAACTTTCATGGTATTTTTCAAAGATAAAATCGTAAACGAGAGCGCAACAACAAGCAAGATGGACTTGTACGACATGGCAAGTGTAGAAAATCCATTTCCAGGAAAATGTAGGATGCTTATAAGCGTAAATGGCAAGGTTGATATGAGCGACTGCATAAATCCTGCCATTATGCCATTATGATTTTCGGATTTGATTGGGTGTCTCTTTGCCAGCTGAACAATATAGCCATCTGCCAAGAGGGAAGTAGTTAGGAAAAGTAGGACATAGGCCATCAGATTTATAAAGATTGAGGAGTCAAAAGGATTAAAACTATCGATCCTTGGAGTCATGGGTGGAAAACAAAGAATAAATAAACAATTAGCAATAAAGAAAAGACACACGCAAGGCTTTATTTAAGTCGGTGGAATAGTCTTTTGTGCTGACATAATAAAAGAAACATTTTGAAACAAGTTATCCTTAGCAGTTTTGAGAACTTTTTAAAATTATCTCAGCTACTGGCCGCTGCATTGCACTATTATTTGAACTATTTCCGACTGGGTCTCCCTCATGGCACTAGAGAGGGTCAAGAATACCGTAAATATCTTTTTCAAACATCTTGATAAAATTTTCAAAGTTCAAGCTGAAAAGGGCAAGTCTCTGCTGCACGTTGCCCATGCCAACAATGTGCCATTGGAAGGTGCATGTGAAGGAAACCTTGCATGCTCAACATGCCATGTGGTTTGCGATAAATCGGTGTTCAGAGAAGAAGAAATTTCAGAGCGAGAAAACGATCTATTGGATCTAGCCTACGGCTTGAAACCTACAAGTAGACTTGGATGCCAAGTTGTGGTTGATGATTATATGAAAGACAAGACGTTTGAGATTCCAAGAGCCACGAGAAATCTGGCGGTGGATGGATATAGGCCGCCGATACACTAACAAAGAATGGACAAAGGCATGAAGCAAGCCAGAAACTACAAATTGACTTGTATATGTCGGACTGGCTAGGAAGCAACATCACAAAGTATCCTTATTAACATCATCTGCACTTTGCAAAAGCAAACTAATTAGAATGAGCAAGCATAGCTTTCCATATTTTGATAATCCTAACACCAAACTCCAATAAATATACTAATTTTATTTCTAGCTTGCCTTCTTCGATTTTTTTCTTGATTTTGGAACTAAGTTCAGCAGATTACTTCCACTTTTAGTTCTTGCATCAGCCTGTGCTCTTAACTCGCTAATTTTTGGCGCAAGATTGTCTACAATATACTTTCTCGTGTGGGCTTTATCTATTCTGAACCTTCCTTTCTCTTTGCCCTCTTTTGGATGCATCTTTTCCGGTTCTTCTTCATACTTGACTCCCAGAGAATCAAGCGCATGTTTAATTTCCTTAAAAGTAGGCTTGGAAACAGAGTTTTTGAGTGAATACTTTCTTCCTCTGCCAAGTGACACACTTGAATTAATATAGATAGGATAAATGATAAAGCATTTTTCTGTGCTGTCTAGCATTCCAGGGTAGGATCAGAAATTCTGCAAAAGGACTATTGGAAGCGTCATTTCGCATGTGAAATAGAAACAGTTCAGCGTAAATCATCAAAACAAAAGACTATCACACAAACTGAATAGTAAAATAAAGAATATTTAATTGGCTACGATTTTCTCATACATTCCAATAAACTCCTTGGCCTGTGCAATATCTGCATCAGTCTTCACTGTATCCTCAGACGGCAGCATATTGGGGCATTTAATAAGACTTTGAATTTCACTGGAGTAGAAATATTCGTCAAGATTATCGGAGGTAACAAGAGGAAGAGGAAGTGAATAGCCCTTCTTAATCTCGGACTCAGTAGCAAATGTACCAAAAAGGGAGGACAGTTTGTTGAATGCAGACTCCGTCCACATGACAAGTCTTCCCATCTTTCCGCCCGGCGAAAGCTCAAGTAAGTCCAAAGAATTCACATCCATCTGATCGACACCCACAATTCCTCTAAATGCCGACAACTGCGAGCCATCATGAATTATAAGAAGACCCTTTCTCCTAATAAATCTTCTATTTCTGAACTTACCCTTGCCTCTTCTCAGCGACTTCGAGTCCTTAACCTTTTGGCACTCTTCTCCAAGTCCAAGATTGCCTAAGAGTTCAACTGCCTGCTTAGTCTTTTCAAGGCTGCTGATGTTGTCGGAAACTACAAGCGGAAGCATCGGAACATTAGAGCACCTGTGGCCTCTTGCTTCGACAATGGCCGGATTGGCAGTGGCGGCGACAGACATGGCAGTAACAGTTCTCCTCAGACAGAGTGGTGTCTTCCTGTGCCATCTTCTATGGGTTTTTGTAGGATGTGCCATTCTGCCTTTTCTACAAAAAGGCGCAAAGGCTGCCTGTCCTGCCCTTCTGGTGCCACTTCCTTTCACTCTTGGCACTCTGGCTACTGCCCTACCTGTTCCCCACGAGACTGCCGAATGCTGCATGCCAGCAAGCGGACTAACGGCATATGGCTGTCTGGAGTTCTGCGAAACTAGTGAATGCACTTTCTGCACAAGATCATCTCTCAATTCAATATCGAACACTGCAGGCCTCTCAACTTTTTTGGCGACTGTCTTTCCATCCACGTCATAGACATTGACTTTTGAGCTCATTGCCCCTGTGGTAAAATTTTTTTAGAAAAGACAAAAATTTTAAAACAAGAGGAAAATGGGAGGAGATGCAGCAAAGAGAGTTTAAGATAATGGAGCATAGAACAGATGTGGCAATACAGCATGTGCAAATTAGATAGACATTCTGAACATCAAGGAATTAGGTGTTGGAGTATCAATGCTAAAAATGAATCAAATATGTATACTAAAGCAGAAGCGAAAGCTTTTGATGAAGATTTCCTAATTAGTATCGCCGAGACATTAGTCCCTTCAGTTTAATTGATTCACCTGCACTTAGCAGATTATACGGGTGTACTATGCTGTTTGATACCGCCTGCTAGTTATAGTGAAATGGCCCATATTATTTGATTAGTTCGAATCAAAAATCCATTTGACGGTGCCACCCCTTTACATGGCTTTTATTGAGAAATACTACGGCATTGAGGAATCCAGAAAACTTGTCGAGAAGAAGCTGCAGCACCGGTCAAATAAGTATTTGGCTAAATTAGAAGAAAGCCAGCTCCTGAAAGAAGCCAATTCGCTATTTGCCAGAGGAAATACTGGCCAATGCTTTGGAATTTTACAGAAGGCCGTAACTTTAGTTCCGAACGATTTCAGGCCGTATTATCTTTTGGGCCTGATCCATGAGGAGAATGGAAAGCACGAAAAGGCACTGGTTTCGTACATCGCAGCTGCAATACTCAAGAATAACGACATCTCCCTTTGGAAAAAGGCACTAAATATTTCATTAAGGACAAGCAGCTACAGGAACCAAATACTAGCGCTTGAAAGAATATTCAGGAAAGAGCCGTCTGAGTCGATTTTAGTGAAAAAGCTTGAGATATTAAAGCAAATGAAGAAGAAATATGCAGTTGTGGCCTGTCAAATTGAGCTGTTCGACTATCAAGGAGTCGATCCAAGAATTTTTGAAAAGTTTGAGCACACGAATCATATAAACTCACTTAGAAAGATTTGCAGCTGTCTTTATAAGTGTATAAAACATAATAAGCAAGCCAGAACAGAGGTTTTCCTTAGAAAAACAGTTTTTACGCTATTCAAAATCAAGGATTGGAGGAGAATCCTAAGGATTTTAGATGAGTACTACTTCAAAGAAAACGATAAAATACATCCCGACATTAGATTCATCTACATGACTGCAGCCTTATATTCAAAGGAATGTCGTTTTGACAACCTACTTGACTTTAGTGGTTTACTAAACGATGCTTATACTTGGAGAGAAATGGAAAATCCCGAGTATATTTATAGTCTTGCAATATGTCTGAAAGAGTGTGGAGAAGCCAAGAAATCAATACTTCTGTTGGAAAAATACCTATCGGTTTCTCAAACAACCAAATCGCTTCATATACTTGGCGATATCAACCAAGAAGTAGGAAATGTCCAGAGTGCTATCCAGAACTTCAGCCAAGTTCTGGCCTTGGATCCTGTTGATGAGCTGGCCAAGACAAGGCTTCATCAAATCTATGAGAGTCTTGGATATAACAGTCTGGCTGAAAAATTTGAAACACCAACAAGAGTAGTAGAGTACATTAAGGAAATTGAAGCAACAAAGAAGCACGAATTCAGATACTCTGCCGAAAAATGCAGGGAAATGAGAAAGTTGTATGAATGTATTTTGTCAATCAGCCCATCCGACTATGCAGAATTCCTGGAGTTGTCAAGGCCTTTAGTTTCAGATTTTTTCGCCAATCCGTTTGTTATAGTCAAAAATAAGAATTTCAAGAAATTTAATAGCAAAAATGAAAGACTGGAGTTCGACGACTCCAACATGCTTGTGGCCTATGATGCCAATATCTCCAAGAAGCAGCTTTCTGACATGTTGGTGAGAATCAGCTCTCTCCATGGTCTTGACATTGATGAATGGTTTTTTGTAGTAAAAAATACAGTTACTTCACTGATGGTGCTGGAAAAATACGAAGATGCAGTTGAAATTGTACGAAAATGCTTCGACGTTCATATTTTCACACATAACGATCAGATAATCCAGATATTGCTTTTGGGCATTCGGCTATATCTGATGTCTGGCGATTTTGATGGCATACACGACATTATTAGGGAAATGATTGGGCATTTTGGATATACGTCTGTGTACTTTCTATACTTTTTGTCATACTTCTTCCCGGACTTTTATCTTTGCAAAAATTTTAGCGATCTTCAAAAAAACATTCAAAAAATTACTAGGCGAAGCAGCAGGGAGCAATGCGAAGTATATGAGGAATCCAAAAACTGGGCCGATAGCTTCAATGGCAAGGAATGCATCTGCGATGCATCTGATCACAGCGCCGATTTTTGTAATAAAACAACCGAAATTCCTCCATTTTTGAGTGTAATGTCATTTATCCCAAGATTTCTTCAGACAGAAACGGTAGATTTTGTGCTGGGCAATGTTGCATCTCTAAAGTCTGAAATTAGTATTATAAAGGCGGTTATATCAATCTCTCACACCAAATCAAGAACATTGGTAGACAAGAAAAAGTATGCTTCGCAGGGAATTGCCTGTCTAAAGGCAATGGAAAGCGACCCAGTGGCTACATACAACCTTGCCAAGGCATATCATTTTTTTGGATACTATACACACGCTGAGCTTTTATATTTAAGGGTTATTGAGGCTGGCCCAGAAGAGCTAAAAAGAATGAGTGTATTTAATCTTTCTTTGATTTTTAAAGATAACAAAAGCAGGAAGGTCATAGAGAATCTGCTATCAAAATGTAAACAGTGGTGAGTTTCAAGCCCCAGGTAAATGTCATACATTGAGCGTCGATTACAATTGTGGCTTATTTTGCCAATAAAGCTTGAATTTGTTCATTTGGCCTCTTTTTCTCATGTGTGACGAACAAAATCCGATACCAAGCGAGGACGAAATTTGTAGCTCTCTGAAGAAGCAGCTGAAGGACGATGTAGAGTTCTGGAAGAGTGGCAGCGGACACAGCATTTACAATACTGGAAGGGGCTTCTTTACTTTTGAATAAATCGTTTGTTTTAATTGCATTTGTCTTGCCGCCCATGGCTAAGGCTGATACGATAAAAAATGTATGGAGAGACAATTTGGAGGAGGAAATGGCAAACATAAGACATCTGATTGAGAAGTACAACTATGTGGCCATGGACACTGAATTTCCCGGTGTTGTGGCCAAGCCGTTAGGCAGTTTCAAGAGCCAATCGTCATTTGCATACCAGCAATTAAGATTCAACGTTGACATGCTGAGCATAATTCAACTGGGAATATCCCTGAGTGACGAGAATGGAAAGAGGCCTGAACCAACACACACTTGGCAGTTCAACTTTAATTTTAATCTGGATACAGACATGTACTCACAGGAATCAATCGAACTACTGATACAAGCAAAGATCAATTTCAAAGACCATTCAAGAAACGGCATTGATGTCAAAGAGTTTGGGTCTTTACTAACAACCAGTGGACTAGTGATGTCGGACCACATTATTTGGGTATCGTTTCATTCCGCATATGATTTTGCATACTTGATCAAGATTTTGACAGGAAACGCAATGTCAGAGAAAGAAGAGGACTTTCACAAGTACATGGGCGTGCTGTTTCCAAACTTCTACGATTTTAAGTTTCTGCTATCGTCTACTGAGCATTCAAGAAAGGGACTGCAGGAAATAGCAAATGACCTAGGTGTTTCGAGAGAAGGAACAGCACACCAGGCAGGAAGTGATGCGCTGCTGACATCGATGGCATTTTTCAAGTCCTTCGAAACAGTCCTGCTCCGAGACAGCCTAAAAAGTTCAATCTCCAAGCTTTTTGGAATCGAGTATGTCACAGATAGCATATAAAATTAGCATGCTCTTGGCTAGTCAAAACCGTCGAATAAATTATGTTTGTTATCTGTAGGCGCTCCTAGCCATCGCTGCTTAGAGTTCCGGAAAAGCTTGCAGTTGTTTGCAAGCGGCACTTCGTCTTGATCTTCTGAGTAATGAAAATAGCACTTCTCTAAAACCATCCACCAATATGCAAAATAAATACCAATTAAAATTTAATTATCTTCAACCTCTACCTGCTGATTGGCAGCATACTTGTTGTTACTGATCTCAAATGCATTCAAGCGGATGCCATCGTTCTCATCCATTGAGATCAGAAGGCTGTTGCTCTCTCCAATTACCATGACCTTATCCATGGACACACTGAAGGGTTTCTCTCTAGGGTCCTGGAGGAATGCAATCTCTTTTCCATCTGGTGAACGGTCGATATACTTGATGGTTCCAATTCTGCCAGCATTAGGCCCAGAAAAAACATAGCCTATCTTTCCAGCCTCGAATGGAAGATGCCCAACAATCCTATTGGTGGCAATGTCAATCTTGACGGTATCATTAATCTTGATAGAAGGATCAGCAAACTTAAAGTTGTATCCATCTTTTGTATGAGTCATGGGAATTGAATCGTTAGTATATTTAGAAACAACCTTAGATATTCTAACCTTTGCCTCGTCAGAGCTGATTTTGTGAAGCTTAAACTTCCTGTTGGCATTGAAGTAGAGTCTGAAGTGCTGGTTAGTCTTCAGAATTGTCACAACATCGAAAAGACCAACCGGAAACTTAATAGAAGTAATCTCCTTTCCATTGACAGCTATCATCCTTGAGGATGCGATATAATCAACCTCTTTAGCCGTATTGGCTACTCTGAGAAAACGAGCAATCACATATTTCAAAGGAATCGAAAGCTCTTTGCTGTGTGGCCCTGGAAGTGGCCTAATTGCATACTTTTCCACTTTTTTTGTCCAAACCCCACTGGGTCGGTGCTGCAAGTCTTTTTAAATGATGGTGTGCTCCACAGGGCATGCTCTGAGGGATAAGCTGAGGCAAAAATTTTCAGTAAAATTTTTCACATCAACAAAGCAAGTGAATATATTGAAGTATGGGCATTTACTAATCGATATAAGGGTGTTGTGAGAATGCTTGTGCCGTTCCACCATTCGTCTTCTGCAGATGCTAAGTACTCGTCTGTCTGTCTCGTACTTTATTTTTATCTAATCAGTGCAGCCATTTCAAGCCAAGTGCAATAGCTATCCCACTTGGAGCTTTAATAGATTGCATCGGTGTCTCTGTTTTCTATCTTTCTATGTCTCTATTTGGAATCTCAAATACGCTTTCCCTTGTCAAATGAACGAAAACATTTTAACCTGCTTGAGAATTAAAGAAACAAGCGCAAAGCCTGTCTTCACTCCAAATCACATAAATGTACAGAATAAGTCGTTTGCTGTTGACAGCATTTTCTACGGGCCCGATCAGAATGAGATATTTCAATACGTTTCAAAAACTATTCTCTCAAAATGTGTCCAAGGATACAACTGTTCTGTGTTTGCCTACGGACAGACAGGCAGTGGCAAGACATACACCATACAGGGAACAGACAGCAGTCCGGGACTTGCTCAACGCTCGCTATCATTCTTCCATAACAACTACGATGAAGTCAAGCTCTCGTTTATTGAGATATACAATGAAAACATGCTAGACTTGTCCGTGCCAGAAAATGAAATAAGCATAAGAGAAGATCCGGTGCTGGGAGTAACAGTTGATAGCTTAAACGTCTTTATTTCACACTCCCTGATGGAAAGCTTAGAGTTCTACAAAAGAGGAATTGCAAACAGAAAAACAGCAGCTACACAGATGAATGAAAACAGTAGCAGAAGTCATTCAATATTCACAATCAGCCTTGAGATGAAGAATAAGAATATAGTCAAGAAATCTAAGCTGTGCTTTGTGGATTTGGCAGGATCCGAGAAAATCGGGGATAATGAAATTGAAAGGGTCAAAGAAACCTGCAACATCAACACGTCGCTACTATGTCTGGGTAAGATTGTCCATAAGCTAAGTTCAAATGACAGATGGCATATCTCCTACAGAGACTCAAAACTCACATTTCTTCTGAAAGACTCGTTGGGCGGAAATAGCAAATTGGCAATTATTGGAACAGTAAACATTGATTTTCCATCTGACACAGTAAACACGCTGAATTTTCTGAGTAGGTCCAAAAAGATCACCAACAGTCCCTCAATTAACTATGATACAGGCAGGTCGACTGTTGCGGAGCTTACAGAGAATATTAAGCAGTTGGACGAGGAAAACAACACGCTCAAGGCCGAGATAGCTGAGCTTCGTTCACAGAAGGAAAATAACATCAAAAGTTCAATAATCTACGACGTGAAGAAGCTGAAAAGAGATTTCAATCTTCTTATGGACGAATTCAATGTTTTATGTGCCAGTTCTAAGGCTATCATTGGAAACTACTATGATACTAATCGATCTGCGATTTTGGAAATTAGTGAGAATTTAAGAATGCTAGCCGAAAGAAACAAAGAGAACATCCGAAATATATTTACAAAGAAGAGAAGGATAGATGAAGAAAATGATGAATAAATTTGTTGAGATAGAGCCGTCTTTTTGATTACAGATATGGCACTGTCCGTTGTCTTCGTCAGGCAATGGTGGGATTGTGCAGTCGCCCATAACAGCGAGTATATAAATTATCCATGCAGATGTGAGACTAGTGATAGAAGAAGGCTACTTTATCTCGGCATTTATGAATAAACACCGGCGTGTTTGGTCTTATTTATTGAACATTATTGTGCCCTCAATGGATCAGGACAAACAAGAATCCAGAAGAAGAGTTTCCTTTGCCGCTGAGCCTCAGATAAATTACATATATCAGAAAGAAAACAACACGTCTATGACTAGTTCATGCAGTATGGATATGGCCATGGATATTACTACAGAGCTGGCAGAGTTCAAGAACTTGAATTTGTTTTCAAAGGACTATAGTGCGAATGCAGAAGATGTGTGTGATGTGGAAAACATGCTTGAAATAAAGGAAAATGAAAGCAATGGTCTATCAAAGAGAGTGAGCTTGGATCCTTTAAAGGCTATCGAGCACGAATCGTTTTCTGAAAGTAGCACCACTGCTGCTAACCTGGGAAATAGCAGCACAGCTATACAAAATGTGCAGGATAAGATCGACGATGCCGAGCATCCAACAAAAGAAGTCGAAGCAAAGAGTCCAGATGCCAAATCAAAAGATCAGACACAGTCTATTTTCTGGAGATCTTCCATCAAAGATGAACACAGAAAAAGTCTGAATGTTTCTTTTGATGATACAGGCGCGATTAACAGTTCATTTGGTGTTGAAGAATTGGTCAACACGATTGATTTGAGGAAAATTATCCCGCAGGAATGGCAAGCGAAGACGAGCATTGGTGAGTTTCTTGCTTCACAGGGAATCAGGTTTCTTGATGAAACCGTTATGGGGGCCATGAAAAGAGACACGCTTTCTAAGTCCAGGAATGTCGTCGATCCCTCGCTAGTGCTCTACTACAAATACTCATTATCCGAGAGAATTGAGTTTTTGTATCAGTTCTCAGGCTTCTTAATTGATAAAATGAAAGATCTTCAAAAGGAAATTGAGGAGGTTGAATCCGGCATTGATGTGAGCGGCATAAACAAAGACAATTTGAAGAGAATACGAAATGAAGCACGAAATAAATCTAAGATTGACTGGTACAGCTTAAGAAAGATCTACGAGATTCAGTTTAATAAGAAAATGATTGAAAACAAAAGTAAGATTGTGGATCTATTAAACGATGTAAAGAGGCAGAACATGAAGACTGTGGAGACTATTTATTTGAAGGAGCAGAGTGTCAATAGCTTAAGATCAAAGATATCCGAGTTGAAAGAAAAGGTTTCAAGGTTCGAGAAGGAGAATGTTCAAAAAACCGAGAAATTGCAGGCGATGATTGAGGAGAAAAAGAAGGTATATGAATCGGCCCAAAACGATTTTGAAACAATTCTACAGTCGTATGAGACACAGAAAAAGGAGGAATGCATGATCCAGAAGAGGATCGATAGGCTACACCAAGAAATATCAAGCCTGAAAAAGAACATTGCTATTAAGAATGTGGGCGAAAGCCAGCTGGACGAAGTCAAACGGCAGTTGGAGAGGTACGGCTCTATATATCATTTTAAGATTATAAAAATTAGCAAGCATGCAGTACTATTTGAAGTTGCCGGTAACGTCGTTTCTGTCGAAGTTAACAGTCTGTCTGAGGTAGTTGAATTTTCATTTGTAAAAAGCGATGGAGATCCGTTTAGTGAGTTTTCAAGATCGCTCATTCAAAATTCATGCTGCAGAAAGCTCGTTGACTTTATAAGAACGTGTCTTGAAAATTTCTATCTCTGCTTTTCACTAAGAAAGGAAGTCAATGCCATAAAAGAAAAAGCTAAGGTAGAATGCTTCTATTTAAATTCCTGTTTGTACTTTAGAATTTACCCACCAGACTCGAAGGTGCTACTTGACATGTCAATCACAGACGAATTTGATTTGATTTACAACGAGAGAATATGTCACAACCTTAAACTATCACCAGGATCTCTGAGCTTGTTTATATCAGAAAAATTGATTAAATAATGTCCTTCATCTAAGTTAAAGTATGTTGACAGTCACGGCATTGCGTAATTTTAGTAGAATGCACATGCCTTATAATGCTAGTAAGCATGGACAGGCCTTACTCGACACAATTTCACGGCATAATCGGGCATGCCGTTTATTGGCACTTCTCGTTCATAAATTCTCTAAAAGCCTTACTTTTTCTATAAATTTCATCGAACCTTCCATACTCTTCTACCTTTCCATCCTTTAAAAAAGCCACCTTTTCAAAGTATTTGACAAGTTCTTTCTGGTGAATGATCATCAGAATGGTTTTGTTTGTAATCTCTTTTAGCACATGCTTGATGAAGTAATCTTCGTACTTTTTGTCGACTGTTGACGTGGCCTCATCAAGTACCAAGATTGGTGAATTTTTGACAAAGGCTCTGAGTATGCAGATTTTCTTCTTTTGGCCTGCACTTAGGTTGGATCCATTAAATCCAGAATGCGTATTATATCCATTCTTCAGACTCACAATCTCCGAATGAATTCCGAGCAAAGTTGCCATGCAAGTAATCTCGTCAATTCTTGAATGCTTGCTGCCCATTCTAACATTGTCCAAAATAGTTGCATCAGAGATATAGTCATCTTGCGAAACATAGGCAATAAGATCAAATAGTGAGCTGTTAGAAATACTGTTGATGGATTGGCCGTCGATGGTAATTTCTCCATCATAGCTTGAAAATCGCAAAAGAGTTTTGAGGAAGGTGCTTTTTCCTGTTCCATTTCTTCCCACCACTGCAATCTTATCATTCTTCTGAATTTTCAGATTAATGTTTTCTAATATTAACGTTTTGTCTTGGTAAATGTTGATGGACTTAAAGCATATACAGTTGCTAAAGACAAGCGTCTTTCTTGTTTTCGTTTCAACTGGAACATCGAATATTTCCTCAATGCCGTTCAAGGATATGGCAAGACTTGATATTAAATCAGACGCTTGTTTTAGAAGTGCATTTAAACTTTTAAAAACCATGAAAATGACTGACAAGTTCACAGCTTCGGTTGAGAAAGCAAGACTTACTAGCAAAATGGCGGCAACGAATGGAAGCTCTGAGAAGCTCTCAACCAAGAGGTTTCTCTTCTCTCCCTCAAGCTTCATTCTAAAATAATCCTTTCGTTGCTTGGATGTTTTTACGTAAAGCTCACCAGACTGCTTCTCTTCAATCCCGTATGCTTTGATCAATTCAAAATTCTGTATTTTGTCGTACAAAATCGACGAATTTCCCACTTTTTCATTTAAATATGATGTATGAAATTTAAGAATTGGCTTTAGCTTTATGATGCTTATCAGCAGATACGCCACAGGATATATGAGGGTAAGAAAGTACAGCAATGGTTGATTGCTGCTGCGGATCTTAATGAATGAAAAGACAATAAACATCATAATTGAAACTAACTTAAATGCGAGCATTTCAAAAAGTGATTTGTAAACTACAAGCTTCGCATGTATGTTTGTAATTATTTCGCCAGAGTCTGACCTGACGATATCCTTATATTCTACGCTCATTGCATCTTTCAGAAACCTGACCATTAAATCTCTTATTGACTTTTCGGAAAAATACCCAAAAAACATCTTGCATAGACATCTGAAAAGGATGCCCACTGCCGCATGGGCTATATACCGATAAATCAACGATGGTCTATTGGTTGCATCACCTATTTTTATGATATTTCTCAGCAATTCAAGTGATGTAAGGTAGAATAGCGTGGAGAGAACATTGAATATAAAGCTGAGAGCCATTCCAACAGATTTATAGTATCTGTTTTCACAAACAAATGCTGCAAGCACCTCCTTCAATAGGTCTTTAACATTTGCCAATTTCATTTAAGGAGTCTGTCTCAGAATTATCAAAAACCACATGGGCCAATCAAATATTGTCTAAACATATAGTAGTGCGCAAATGCTAATACCACGAGCCTAACACTTTAAAAGTACGTTGAAACTTCGCATTTATTCCCGTCGCACAATCTGATAATCGTCGGTGACAACATAGTCGTTTTCATTTATTACCAATCTTAACTGTGACCTGTCACATTTCTCAAACCATATTCCCATAATGGACTTCACAAGATCATTATTAACATAAATAGAACAATCCCGTAGTGTACTTGGAAGCCTAAATGATTCTTTTAGTTGCACGCAATCTGGCTCTTCAGATTCTGAAGTATACTTGCCGACATCAACCGAATCGAGCTGCTTCAAATCGAGGTGTAATACTTCCAGGCCGCTGATTTCGGAAATCTCATAAGGCAGTTTCATGAATCCCGTGCATTCATCAATCACCAAGCATTTCAATGATTTTGTAGTTTTCAAACCCATACAAATAGAATGCATATTAAGAAGATCACATTTGAAAAAGCCCAAGTTCTCGATACTTTGAACTTCTTGCAGATCAATAGATTCGAATGATGACATGATCAGGTTCAGATTTTTTAAAGCATGGACAGTTTGCAAGCTTAATGATTTCAAATGACAACTCTCCAAGAAAACATCAAGCAGGCTGGATACGTCTTGCAGAGTTGCCGATGTTAGCAAACAATCCTTTAAAAGAAGTTTATGAAGCATCGACATCTTTCGAAAAGCCAGCGACTCCAACACAGAACTATACAGCTCGAAATTCTGCAATGCGGCCATTTCGCATAGATCAATTGATTTTGACCAACCAGAATTCTCTGCTGTGGGAAATCCTGTATTAGATGCCTGTGCCAGTGCGATGGTCTTTTCATCAAGAAGAATAGTCATTTTCTCTCAAACTTCTCAGTTGACTTAGTTTCTTGAAATCTTCTGTGTCAAATAGTAACTTTTTAGATTGTATTTTGAGTACCTCAATATTTTTGTGATCAAGGATCCAGTTCATATTATGCCCTCCAAGATCAACTATGTTTTCGTTTGAGATTTCAACCCAAACAAGCTTTTCAGGATTGGAGAATTTCAACTCAATGTCTCCCGACAGTTCAGCCATTTTCAAATACTTTATGTTTTTCATAAAACCTGCCCTTCTCTTCAACGCGCCCAGCACGTCATTTGTCAAGATTGCAAGAAGAATCCCGGTGTTGTCAATTATATGCTCCTTGTTTGGAGCACCACATCTAATAGAAAACTGCTGTAGAATGGCGATAAACCTGAAAAACCGTACCATCATAACAACCCTTTTATTAACTTCATAGCTAGTTAAAAACGCCACACAGTTTATCCACTGGGCAGAAGGATTCCTTGTGATATCCGAATCGTCAAACTCAAAGACCACTCTTTGGAAATAGTTTGTATTTTTTAGTACTATCTTTGCAAAGAGAATCGAAGGTGACTGTGGATCGCTTTGAAATGCAAGATCCATCAACATGATTAAATGCAAGGATGATTGAGCAGCGTTTCTCCTAGATTTCTCAATCTCAAACAGATAGTTTCTACACATGCTAAAGACAAAGCCATCGTAAATACCTAGCTTTTCAAAAAAACTCTTGAGGTTCAAAACTGAGCTGGGAAAATATGACTGTTGCATGCAGAAATCAAAGAACTGCTGATCATCAAGCCTCAAAAGAATCTCATTTAGCTTCAAAATGTCGGCTGCAAACTCATGAATATTTTGAGTTTCATTGATGGTTTTGAACACGTCACAGTACTGGACTCCATTGAAAAGCAACATGCCTGTAATCTCAGACACGGCACTGTCAGGTAGCTTAGGAAATTCAGTATTCAGTTCTGTTTGTTCTTCAATATCAGAGTCCTCAATAGTGGTATATTGAGTGTTTTCATCACTATCTGCATCATGGCTTTGAATGCACTGTTCTGTATCTGGATTTGCTTCATTGATGGGATCAAGAAGCATGACTTCCATAGATATGATTAGCCTGTAGATTATTTTGCATATCTTTCTCTCTCGTGCAATATTCATTAACATCATAGATATGGTTAAAAATTTTTGAGCTTCGTCAGTAAACCTGCCAATGATTTTAACAATAAGCCTATTTAGACTTGATACCTAAATATGCCACTAGGGCCTTGGCCCATATAGTTTAGAGCTTTGCTAAAAGATTGAAAGCGACAGATCTTGAAGGCTTATTTGCATGGCAAAGTCCAACAAATTTACTTTAATGCATATTGATCCATGTTGCACGTTTCTCATGCAATCAGACCACTGCACTGTCTCGCAGTTGCTGTACGTTACTTCTATAATATTGCCCCTTACATATTAAAAACATGCCAATGGGCTGTCCAACTGCACAGAAGCAGATCCAGAAGAACGAATTTGCTATTGATGGTGCCTTTTCCTTCATCATGTTTGTAATATAATACAGCGGTATCTGGACTACCATTCCGAGTAAAAACCAACCGTTGAAAAATTTAAGGGTCATCGAAACAACATATTCATGGATAAACCCGCTGAACAAAAAGCATACAAAAGTAGCGCCAGACCTGTTAACTCCCCTTTTTATCAGAGGGGTGTAAATGTGCTCCTTCATAAAGTTATGTACTGGCAAATTCCAGTTTTTCCAGAAATCAGCAGTTGATCGTGAATTCCACCACTCCCCAAAGATTTTTTCATCAAACAGTGTGAGCTCACTCAAAATTGTCATTCCACAATCGAAGAATATTCTGAAAAATAGATTAAAAAGTATAATTGACGATATGCTCAAATGCATGAAGCCTTCTATAAAGCTGTTTGAGGAGCTACTCGTGATCAGCTTAATAATGGCAGGCACAGCGTGCTGGTCAAGAAAAAAGCATAGCAGCAAAAGAAAGGCCACAAGTTTGAAAGCGGATGTCCAAATCAAGCCCCAGTTTCTCTTTGATTTCATTTGGTACTCTTCCTTGTAGACAAGAGTGGGATATGATAAAAACTTGAGAAATCTTAGCATGGTGCTTGGCTCTCTGCCATTTATCAGAAACGAATACATCTTCATGTCATAGGATAGTGACAGGATGTATAGCCAGCAAGCCAAAAATACATGTTTGATCTTAAGATAAACCATGATGGAACTCAGACATTCGGATACTGGAATATAAGCTACTACAACTGAAAGATCGGCATTTGATAGATTCAGAAAATAGCAGAAACAGCACCGAAGGAAAATAACGAAAAGACAGGCAAAGAACCACACTGCATCGTGACATGAAATGTTTGAGAGTGGTATTTTCATTCTAAAGCCGCTTTCCATAAAACTCATCAAAATAAACCGGCTAATAAATAAAAACGCCAATAGGCGTGTTAGATTGTTCCATCCGTTGTTCTCAGGACTTATTTCCTGGTTTGCAGTTTTACTTTGTGCCAGCAAACGAGCTCTTCGTGGTTTTTTTCTGTTTCTGACAAGAATGTCCTCTGCTATTTGACAGGATGAGCCATTTGATTGCATTACTGAAGACTTGCCAGGTCCTAGTTTGGTATTATCAACAAGATTACCGGAAATTCCACCACCCATCAGCAGGGGCTTATTATTATTTTCAAAAACATTACATTTCATTGAATAAATAAACAGAAAAGAATGTTGAAGCATGCTTAGTATTTCAATGCTTGATTGAAGTTTGAATTAGCCATATGATATTCTACAGTGCTTTGCTGGTAATCCTGCGTGCTTGTATGAATGAATGTCGCTTAAAATATATTATAAACGTTTCAGTGAACAGACGACATGAAATATTGTGCCATGATTTCATTGCTAAATGTCGAAAACACAATAGTCATGAGGCTGTTTATAGTCTGTTTTCAATATTAAAATTTTTTGACCGATAGAATTTAAAGCCAAAGGCATAATGCCTGTAACTGAAAATCAATTTATTGATTTTTTAATATCCCTTAAAACCTTCTCACCAGTTTTTATCAGGTGTCGCAGGTCTTCTCCCTTTCCGCCCATTCTCATTCTCACAACGCCGTCAATCCTATCAATAATACACTTTAACTTTCCCTCCACTATAAAGTTTCTCAAGTCCTCTTCGACATGCTCACTCTCAACATCGAAGTACTGTGCCATTTTGTCAAGATGCAGAGACTGATAGCACAGCAGAAGCTGGCAATATCCCTTTACCTTCATCTCTTTGCAGAAATATTCTTTGAATGGTCTTAAAAAACAGTCATTTTCGCAGTATTCAATAAATTTAAGAAGTTTTCTGAATAGCAGCGAGTACTCACAGTTGAATAAGCACTCAGGCAATTCTAGAAACTCCTTGCATTTTCTCACCTCTGGGTTGTCTATCACGTCCCTTTTCAACTTATTTCTCTCAAATGAAATCAAAGAAGAGAAAGCAAGATAAAGGATTAATTTTTCAAACGAAAGAAGCTCGTATGCACCAAAGGAGGCCAGAGAGCTACAGAAGCATTCAGCAGCCCTGTCAAACTCGGCTCTTAAAAGATGGAATAGCCCGAAGTACACTTTGAATCTATTTTTGCATTCCCAGTCACTGGAGCTTTCAAAAGCATAGTTTGCATCCTCAATATATCTTTCGAGAGAACGAGTGTCCTCCAAAATAATGGCCATTCTTATTTTACACATCAAGATGTTCATTTTAAGTGATGCTGAATTGTCCTGCTCAAGCAATTCCTTTGCAAGCACCTCGAAGCTTTTAACATCAAAAATTTGCGCATAAAATTCGCATACTTTCTTATCCATTTCAATAATGTACGGCTCGTTCTCTGCATTTTCACTTTTTTCCTGCTCAAACTCTTTAATTTTCTTTGAAATTTCCGAATTCATATAGTCCAAGTCTTGTTTGCTGTATTCCAGAATGCCTTTCTCCATGTATCTTTTATAGAGATTGATGTTAAGCCTCTGTACAAGAAACTGCCGGATTGTTTCCGATGATCTGCCAGAGTCTACAAGATGGACTATTTCTAATGTTGGTTCTCGAAAGGATGACTCCATTTGTGGGTGCAAATCCCAAACTTTAAAGGCCCTAGGTTCATTATTTCAATCAGCTGCGATATTGAAAACACATGCTTCTAGCACATTTCTGTATTTTAGCATAGCTGTTTGTTGCCAAATTCACACTTGACTTTTGATTATAGTACAGCCATCATATTTGTATTTTGCCACAAAGTACCTGGTGCTTAACTAGCATAAATCATGCCGTAGATCAGCCAGAAATAGCATCGCCGTTTGATTATGAGCATCTCCTTGATAGCACGCGTGTTTTTTAACTTTCCTTCCACATAAAATTTTTATGTTCTTGTACCATTCATGAAAATAGTTAAGTTAGATGAAATAGATAAAGTTGACATTCAGTCATACTTCGAGGATGTCGTTGTAATTCCAACCGAAACAGTGTACGGTCTGGCTGCTAGAATAGATAACGAAAAGGCTCTTAACAATATATTCAAAATCAAAGGAAGACCATCTGACAATCCACTGATTGTTCATATTTCAGATCGGGATATGCTAGATAATTTGGTAGATGGAGATGTTCCTGCGGAGTATTCAATCCTCATGGATAGATTCTGGCCAGGCCCACTCACTCTTCTTTTCAAGTGCAAAGATTCAGTTTCAAGAACACTCACAGGAAAGGATATAAGCACAATTGCAGTGCGAATGCCAAAAGGTGAAAAGATCAGAGATTTAATCAAGAGAATAGGAGTTCCGCTTGCAGCACCGTCTGCAAACACAAGTGGAAAGCCATCACCCACAAGAGTAGCGCATGTGATGGATGATTTAGGTGAAAGGGTTTCATTGTACATCGATGGTGGGCCGTGTGAAATTGGTATAGAATCAACTGTTTTTGGCATTATTGATAACAGCTATATGATTTTAAGACCGGGTGGTGTAACAAAAGAAAGTATTGAGAAGGCAATTAATAAGAAGGTATTGGTCAAAAACAAAGTGGAAAATAGTGACATATTGATATGTCCTGGCCAGAAATACAAACACTATTCTCCCGAACATCCTGTCTATTTATTTACTGGTTCGACTTGGCGCCAAAATATATCAAAGTATAGTCAAGTATTTGAGAATATGAAAATTGGAATACTCAAGAGAAGGGGATTGGAATATCCAATCGAGTTTTACAAAGAATACGATCTAGGCGAATGCCTACAAGATTGCACACGAAACATCTTTGCAGGTCTTAGAGTTTTAGATAGATCCTGCGACGTAATATTTGTTGTAGGATTTGAACTTGAGAAGGAGGGACTGGCCATTATGGATAGACTGGAAAAGGCGGCGAGCCACATTATCGACTAAGCATTGCATTCTAACAATAAGCTGATTTTAGAAATGCATGGTAG